ATCCACGTCACAATACATTACAGAACATGGATGCCGCAAAATGAAAATAACGCAGAACAAAGTGTGTGTTCATTCTCAAACACATTTTAGTGCGAACGACGATATGCAACAGCATGGGATACACTGACATACAAACCTGTGCAGTTCAGCCATTGCAATTGGTGAACAAGGCCTTGTAAGGCCAAAACCTGCTGCAACTGAATGATGGCATTTTAAAATAAAGGGGAGATTGTGAATGGTTTTGGGTTGCATTACAGACGGAAATGAGTGCATGAGTGATACATCAAAGCAACAGGATCCCAAAATATAACAGTATCATGTATTCAGCTTTGGAATAACGAATAATAATGGGTTCTGCATTAAATGATCGGATTTATTGGCACATCAATTAAAATTACAATCAGTTATAACTGTTCACAATTAGTCTTCACCCAAACCCTTCTTCCTTGACTGCCAAGGACTTGCTTCATTCTGCTTCTTGTTCTACGACTGACTGCAAATGACCTTCGTTGTCCCTTATAAACCTTCAGCATGGACCATGTACAGAAAACACACCGAGAACACCATATCTTAGCAATTCTTCTACTGTTGCCTGTGTATTCATTGCCGCGAGTATGTGTTTACTGACCCATTGCCTAGCAATGGATATACATGTTACAAGAGAAAGAAATGTTTCTTTACTTTCTGACCCAATACAGGGTGTCCCAGGAGGAATGGACCAAACTTCGGGAGGGTGCTCCTTATGTTAAAGTATGCCGATATAACCCAAAACACCTATGTCCAAAGTTGAATGGTTACGGAGATAATGGCCCGAGAAAAGTGTGGTCTTCTAGCGGGTCTACAGACTATACCTATCAGCTGAGAGGCCTTATCTATGTTTGTCCTTGAGTGCCGTGATTCACCCTAGCCGTACTTATGTAGTTGGCTTTATCGGAAAGCGCAGTCAGCCAAGTTACGTCATCGCTCGCCAGTCATGTGTCATGTATAGTGCTTGGAAACCCTAAGGACAATTATGACATGGCGAGCGAGTATTTTGTACTTCAATTTTATGGCTTCACATCACTCACAAGTTAGTCTGATGTTACATACATTATTAACATTACAGAATCCACATATTCCTGCCAGTTTTAATATGTATTTTGTAATCAACAAGTGTGTAACAGCGGTCAAAGTTTCACACTTCTCTGGCCATTATCTCCGTAACCGTTCAACTTTGGACATAGGTGTTTTGGGTTATATCGGCATACTTTAACATAAGGAACACCCTCCCGAAGTTTGGTCCATTCCTCCTGGGACACCCTGTATTGGGTCAGAAAGTAAAGAAACATTTCTTTCTCTTGTAACATGTATATCCATTGCTAGGCAATGGGTCAGTAAACACATACTCGCGGCAATGAATACACAGGCAACAGTAGAAGAATTGCTAAGATATGGTGTTCTCGGTGTGTTTTCTGTACATGGTCCATGCTGAAGGTTTATAAGGGACAACGAAGGTCATTTGCAGTCAGTCGTAGAACAAGAAGCAGAATGAAGCAAGTCCTTGGCAGTCAAGGAAGAAGGGTTTGGGTGAAGACTAATTGTGAACAGTTATAACTGATTGTAATTTTAATTGATGTGCCAATAAATCCGATCATTTAATGCAGAACCCATTATTATTCGTTATTCCAAAGCTGAATACATGATACTGTTATATTTTGGGATCCTGTTGCTTTGATGTATCACTCATGCACTCATTTCCGTCTGTAATGCAACCCAAAACCATTCACAATCTCCCCTTTATTNCTAATTTAATTAATTATAATGGATTTTAACCCATTTTCTCGGTATGATAAAACACCTATCACAGATATGTAAGTTATGAAAAGGGGACATGTAGAGTGAAATCTGAGTCATATTAAAGCGTGTGGTAACAATATCATCGCCAAAATTATTTTATTATCACTGCACAAGACTTATTACAAATTATTCCAGTTCAACTCCCAATTCTGTATGTGCCATCAACATACTTTGGTACTGAAATTATAACAAGAAACACACTGCATTATATACAACAAAAAATTAAATTACTATAATTTGGTCTTCTGCATATTTCCATTTAACAGTCTTCTTGCTTGTTTGTGCCAGGAAAGTTCAAAGAAGACATCTTGAACCTCTAACTGCTGGCAATGAGTCCCATTTGTTTCTTGCAGAACTGTGTATAAAGTGTAACTTAGCACAAGAACTATGTACTCTGTAAGGTTACCATCACTGGACTGCACAGGGTGAAAACTGAAGAACAAAATCTAAAAATATAGCATGTGGATGGAAATTGTAGGCACTAAAAAAGTGAGTAAGTGTACAGTATATGTACATCCTTCAGTAACATACCACACAAAGTTAAAAAAGTTCATTTGTTGGGTATTTACCAAAGTTATATCTGAAACTGCACTTTAGGTCAAAATTTGAGACTGAAACCAGGACCACTTGTAGCACGTCCCTTCTCCAGAAGACCCATGTGAAATCCTCCTGCAGGAACATCTTCATCTGTATCACCCTGCAAATTCAACAGGAAATCCATATAAACATCGCATGAAACTCCTATCTGCCAACCCATGCTTTATCTCTGAAACTACAGAACAGATTTCAATAAAGTCTGGTATGAGATGGGGTGGGGCTAAATCTAAACCTGTTCGGTGAATTTAATTTTATTTCATATTAGAGCACTATAACCCCTACTATTCACAATATACAAAACACACATATCATTCTTCTCAGCAAATGGCTCACTGAACAAGGAAGTGGCAACGACATAAGAACAGATAATAATCTGCATATATCTCAAAATGATATTATATGGGTGTAAAGAATGCATGACAGTGAAGAAGAGGACGATGAAAAGTGGGAAGTCTACAATAGGATAAAGGTGGATTTCACGTAAAAGTTTATTATCAGTTGCTATTTTCTTTGATGAATACATTCTTCAGCTGAATTCTCCTTATAAGAATCTGCTATAACAAATTTTATAATTAAAGTTTTATTTACATCCCACAATGTACCCATGGCAACCAAAACAAGGTGCCACATCAAAAATATCCAGGACATCGGCAGGCAACAGCCTGCTTAACGTGTTTCTCAACAGTGGAGGAATTCTTGGTACCGATGTTTTCTATAAGGTCCATTCTGAGGTTATATAATGAGGATCAATGGGACAAGTGAGTTATCTGCAACTGAGAGGGGACAGCTGTGAGACAGATGCCAGCCAGTAAGGACATGAGCATGGAAGTAAAGGAATATCCAGTGTTGGGAGTCACTACTTAGCAATCAACAGTGAAAAATTTAACAGACTGAGACCTAGCATGTGTTATAATTATATGCAGTTACGAGATATAAGCATTCAGTAAATATGTAAGATTTGAGGCTTTCACGGCGGTGACTATGAAGAAAGCAGTCTTCTGGGATTTGGCACCGTGTATATGTGGTGTTAACCGACGTTTCGGAGGAACGTATCGCCCCCATCTTCAGGGTAGAAGAAAAAGTATAAGANGTAAATATGATTATCAATCCAAACGCCATGCTAGTCACTTAACACGTGACAATATGCTCTTTGAGCATTCCACATTTACTGCTTATCCAAACTATATGAATTCATGTATGCAGGTACTCATTTTCAGGGAACAGCTGTAACAGGCCAGTAAAAAACTTCTGCTCACAAGTTGTTTGTATTCGTGTCCACCAGGTGGGGGTTTGGGGCTGGCAGCTGCAGCTTTCCTGTGACCCAATTCACTCTTGGCTGGCCAAGTTGGAAACATTGCTGGGTCAATGGGAAGAGGGGCTTCCTCAAAGTAGTCATGATGAAGAGCATCCTCTGCAGTTACACGCTGAGCAGGGTCATATGTAAGAAATCTGCAACCACAAATTTCATTACTTAACACAGTGACGGTTCTCAGCATTTCCTGATCTATGGCCCAGTAGAAAAGCAGCGATTTTTTAGGACTTGTACAAAATGCCTTGCACTATATACTGCAAATGTTTTTACTATTACAGTGTTTAAACCTGAATGCTAATGAATGCAGAGAAAATGTAGCACACAGAGCTATTTACATGCTAAAGAGGAAGATGGGAGAAGACCCTCATTTTTAAACACTATGTACAAAATATAACTCAACCAAAGACTGAACTGATGCTACTCCCGACTTCACTCTACCACCTACAACCATTGTGAAGTCGGGAGCGGTTCATCATCACTGGCTCTTGCGTCGTGTTTACAATACTCCCTAAGGTCATTGCAGGGAATCCAAGGTCGCAGTGGAGGGCTTTACTGAAGTTAATGACTGACCAAATAACAATAACAAGATTTAATAAACACAAAACACAATATAACTCATTATAAGAACATACAAAATATACAACCCAATAGACATGGCTGATTTGCCCTATACTGATCCGCACTTCGCAGCATCAACTCAGCGACATGCCCAGTTCCACTGGCCCACCGACATTATGTACGGAAGTCACTTCCTGATCATCCACATGCAGCCGCAAAGAAAATAAATATATCTAACAAAATAAGTCAGCCACAGGTGGCCCCAAAGAAAATATATATGTAAAAATGCCAACTAAGCCACTTGCGTATCGCCACCATACCTATCCCGATAGCTGGCGACTGCAAGTAACCCCGACGTCTGCAGCCAGCTCTTGACTACACTGAAACCAGATTTAGAAAAAACCCTGATGAACTGAAATTTAGAAATTTCTCCCGCTGGTCTGCCCGATGCCCTCGTCAGACTAACTCCTCTGCTCCCAAACATACTTCTTTCCGAGACACAGGGGTAGAAAGGGAGGGGAAATCACATGGTATTGGAGAAGAGGAGGAGGGGATAAGCTCTAGGACCTTGGGAGAAGGGTAGCATGGGAGATATGGCTGGAAGCCATGACATCATGGAAGGAGCCATTGCTTTAGCACAGCTCAAGACAATGTCCAACATAATATCATAATGAATAAAAAATTATCACAAACTTTTATATATAGAAATAAGTTTCTAGTTGCAGAACAGCAATTTCTGAGCTAGGCGACGCACGCATGCACACAACATATATAATAATACTAAGTACTGATGTAAATTAACATGTTGAATCACACAGGCAAATGACCTCATTTGATAGTACTGAAAATGTGCTGCTCACAAAACATCTTCAAGCCAATTAAGAAATAAATACTGTAAAGAGTGAATACACCCAGTTCTGCTTCCATGCCACCATGATGCTTACATACATGGGCTACTTTTAGCTTAAAAGACTCTTAACCAAGAAGTATCCATATACAGGACATTGAATTACTTTAATAAGCAGAAAAACAGATTTTAACATGCTGACTCAGGCCGCGCCATAGCTCAAGCGATTAGTCGCTGGCTTCCCACCGTGGCGGTTCGGGTTTGATCCTGGGTCTGGTGAAGTGGGATTTGTGGTGATGGGGCAGGCTTTTTCGGAGTACTTTGCTTTCCCCTGCCAATCTTTATTCCACCAACTGCTCCACAATCACCCTCACCTATCATCTGGGGCTGGTACAATAGGCCAGAAGTGGCCGCAGTACAAGGGACTTAGTTCCACCCCACTAGCAATAAAAAAAACAAAACATGCTTACTCACAGAGTTCATGATATAAGTTAAAGGTATCTTCTGTTCCTCTTTCTTCTTTCACATGATATTTCCTTCCTCACCTTACCAAATTTTCAGTGCAAATTATAGTAATGACATTAAATTTAGAAAATAAGCTACTCACCATTATTTGAAACGAGGAACAGATCAGTGTGTTCTGCATTATGACACCAGACAGTCCTATGGGTAGTTATCCTGATGATGGAGGTTGCAAATTCCTTTGAAATGTCAGTAATCACCCACAAGGCTACAAACTGTCGCAGCCCAGAAGGCTACACTCTAAATCTTCACGGCCTCATAGCCAAGAAAACCTCAAATCCCATACAAGTAACAGTTTTCTCTCAATTTCAATAAGGAATGGAACAGAGGATATTACCCAGTAACTGCTTACAGCTGGCCACATGGTGCATTTATTGGTTTACAAACTGAAGCTTCATACCTATTCATTAGATCCATGCCCAAATCGGTGATCATGGTTCCAAACCGAGACCGTAACTGGCTTACAGGATATTCTGTGAATGTCACTCTCTGGACAGCTGGTAGTTTACTGTAACCAGGCCAAATCCTTTCATTTGGTGTCCCCAGGTCCTGTAAGTCATAAGATTTGTTCATATTTAATGCTAAGGAACACATATATTTCTGAGTGATTGTCTGTGTGCTCATAAAAAATAAAGAATTTGAATAAATTACCACTGATGGATTATGGACCAGATAAGCAGACCAAGGAATGATATACAAAAGAAAGCAAGGGGCTAAGAAATGGCAGACACAAGACGAATGTCTATGTGAGGGCAGAAAAGAATGAAACGGTTCTTCCATAATACGAAGGGGGACCCAAAAATAACCGGAAATGACCTGTTGCGCGCGCATGCTTTGTAGTTATGAGTTGTGCTGCTAGATGGTGTTAGCTGGGGGTCTCCCGCGACTGTTAGTGAGCTGGCGTCAGTCTGAGTTAAGTGGTTTATCTGTGGTGCTCTGTTGTGTGCGTTCCTGTTTCAACCCTTTGGCGATTAGTGAGATGGCCGACCAGAAGGAACAAAGAGTGTGCGTGAAATTCATGAAGATCGTCAAAAGACCGTTGACCAACTTTCTGAGGAAACGAACATCTCATGGAGCACGGTCCAGCGAATTTTAACTGAAGGTTTGCACATGAGACGGGTGTCTGCAAAATTTGTTCCTCGCTTGCTCGGAGATGACCAAAGAGAAAACCGCGACTTGAAGAGTGAAGTGCAGTTTTCCCTAACAGAAAGCAAAATTTCACGCACACTCTTTGTTCCTTCTGGTCGGCCATCTCACTAATCGCCAAAGGGTTGAAACAGGAACGCACACAACAGAGCACCACAGACAAACCACTTAACTCAGACTGACGCCAGCTCACTAACAGTCGCGGGAGACCCCCAGCTAACACCATCTAGCAGCACAACTCGTAACTACAAAGCATGCGCGTGCAACAGGTCGTTTCCGGTTATTTTTGGTTACCCCCTCGTATAATGTATGCTGGTGGAAATGTTACTGTATCATTATTGTTGCTGTTGTATAAAACAAGTTATTGCAGTGTTAACTGTCCATCCTGGCCTCAACAAATTTTAGGCATGTGCATGTCTCAAATTTAAACGTGCAAACTGAGAAAAAATTTCTTTATCTCCATTTTTCATTCTCAGAACTCACATATTTTCTGATAACTGCTTTTATTTTGCACATTGGAGTCATGACAAAAGGGAATGGAACTGTATTTACCTGGACAGAAGATGGGTTTTGTCCATTTTTAAGTTACAGAATTATGGGTAGTTGTCATGAATTTGAATGCTATATACATATTTGAATAAGCCTTTTAAGGATCATTTGAAACAACTGTATTCTGAATGACTCCTGGTGAAGTCCATGTTCTGACACCACTGAGACAATAAAGAGTCCTAGTGTAGAAGCACTGTGCAAGTGGATCAAGACCACAGCAACAAATCTCTCGAGAACTGATAATCACAGGATTACAAAATGGATACAAGGGAGAATGAGGAAGAAGCTGGGAATGTCGGTATAAAATATTTAACAGTGAGCACTGAATGAGAGAAAGGAAATGGGAATTCTGAATACATTGAAGCTGAGAGAGATATGAATGGTGAACACAGTGAGGCTAGTTGGGATACTGAGATTCTGGACTTCGCCCATCGTACAGTATTCTATGCTTTAGAACACTATGATGGACAAAGTCCAAAAACCCAGTAATCTGAAGTGTTGTACACTGTCAGAAACCTTTACAATCCAACAGGACTAATGACTTCAGGAAAGAAATTAACCCAAATTTCATATGTGTTTTATAATATTTATTTTCTTTTATATGTTTATAGCAAGAGCATGAAATTAATTAATAAAATTACTTTTTCTCTGCAGACATGTTTCTGAGAGCAATCATCTTCCAGTCAAGTGAATGCAATAGCACACTCAAAAAGTGAAACCTCAATCTATTATTCCTGGTTCCATCATTCAATTTCTGTGGTCCCTGAACAAATCCTATTTAATAAAATGTATTATTTAAAATTATTAAAATATATATTTAATAAAACCCGCAACATCTGTTCTTCGATTTATCATTTTCTTGCATCTATTGGTAAAAAGTTTTAGTTTCAAAGAACGTTAATCTCGGACTGATTGTTTTTAAGAAGGAGCAACACCATGCAAACAAATGTTAGTATGCATCAGTAGGAGTAACAGTGCTTGAAGTTTTTGGAATGAGGTGTAACAAGTTGCAGTTTTGGCTCTGTACCTTTAGCTGTGCATTATGTGGACTTGAGTGTCTTACCTACCAGAAAATGAGTTGAAGGGGAGGGGTGGCTGGCAAGAGCCTGGTCCAGCTGGGAGAGCTTTCCTGCATGTTAGTGTGAATCATTTCAATTCATGCTTTTGCCTAGTTGAGTACAGAGTTCATCATGTGTTTGAAAACAATGAAGCAAGGTTTCACTATACACTGTACAAAACTGGTCTACTAGAGGGAATTCTTGTTCTTGTCATGATTCACAAAACATTCTCATTCTCATTTTGAACTGAAGACGCCATTCTAAAATATGCCTGATACATTTTGAAAAAATAAATATTCAGTAACTTAGTTGCCGTGGAATATTTTTAAACTCAGTGTGGGTAGGCATAAGCAAGTTTCTAACACATGAACCTTTCTGCACTATTCAACATGTTCTGTGAAGACTTAATCAGTAACTGATATTGTGTTATTTTTTAAGCTTTTCTTGAACAAAGAACAGTACCTTGAATACTCGATTGAGCTGGTCCACTTCAGATTTGCCTGGAAATAAAGCTTCCATGGAAAGAAATTCACCAAAGATACACCCAACAGACCACATGTCAACTGGCGTTGAATATTCCTGCAAGTAGGTAATGCAGAATTAGACTGAATACATATATACATACATATATGTATGGCATTTTCCTTATTCTGCTAAATATTTTTTTATTCTGACTCTTACACCTGATTTGCATATAATCACTTTACAGGTTTCCAATAAGATGAGTTACATTCTAATAATACTAGAACATTCAGAACAATCAGAAAGTTAAACAATTTTCATAGTCTCATTTTAGGTTAAAAAGTGCAACTTCCAAAAGCTGGTTCTGTTTCTGCCATTAGGTGAAATTATGAAACATATTCTGCTGGGTCTGTTAGATAGAGCTAATCTCTGTCTCCTGGCCTAGGAATAGACATTAACTTCCAAAGGGGTAGATTTTATAATTTTATCTGACAACAAAAGCAGAGCCCATTTCTGAAACACATTCTTTCAACAAAAAATGAGATACAGAAAAATATTCAATATATGGTTGTCAGTTTAGTAACACAGCTTTTAACTTATTAAATTCAGAACACTACAAAACTTTGCACTGCACAAAGTACAGCGTGATTCAGAAAGATGGACACAATTTCAATTGACTACATTTCCTGAACTATATGTCGCATCTGAATTCTGTAAAGTACATTTGAAAGAGGATGTTGTAAAGTTTCTAACACTACCGCTAGAGCACTCCAGCACCGCGTCAGTTGTAAGCGAGATGGCTACTATGCAACACAAGATTTTTTGCATTCGTGAGTTCAGTAAAAGTGAATCTGCGACTGCTGTGTAGTGTGTGCATTTTCTCGCAAGTTTAACATCCAACCTCCAACAAGGAATCGCATTTATCGTTGGAATAAACATTTGATGAAACCGGCCTTCTGTGTTAAGGGTAAAAGCCCGGGCCGATCGCGTGTATTGGAGGAGAACGTGGAGCACATTTGAGTGAGCTTTGAGCGTAGCCCAATGAAGTCAACCTGTAGTGCTAGTAGAGAACTTGGACTATCGCAAACAACTGTCTGGCGTGTATTGAGGCACTGGTTAGTGTACAAACCATATGACCTACAACTGGTACAGGCTCTTCCCGCAAACAATAAGGTAAAGCATGTAGAATTTTGTGGCCGTATGCTCAAAAACATGGAAGATTATTTGGTTCTGCCTCGTGTAATTTTTAGTGATGAAGCTACATTTCATCTAAGTGGGAAAGTCAACAGGCACAATGTTCGCATATGGGGGCTACAGGATGGAGCTCCACCCCATTGGCACCTGAATGTTCGACGTTTCCTGATTGACACTCTACCTCAACGATGGACAGGTTGCATGGGGAATGAAGACCTGGCACTTCAGTTCTGGCCACCGAGGTCTCCTGATCTCACATCCTGCCACTGTTTCCTGTGGGGATTCGTGAAAGATGCAGTTTATGTACCACCTCTTCCCACAAATCTGAATGACCTAAGAAACCATATCACAGCTGCAGTGAACTCAGTGACGCAAGATATTTGTCATTGAGTGTGGGATGAATTCAGCTACCATCTAGATGTTATCTGTGCAGCCGGAGGGGGGCATATTGAACATCTATAAACTTCCATGTATGTATAATCAAATGTAATTTATAGAATTCAAATGCAACATATAATTCAGGAAATATAGCCAATTGAAATTGTGTCAATCTTTCTGAATCACCCTGTACAACATTACTTGCCTTCGTGCACAGCAGCAGTTCTGGTGCACGGTACCAGAGAGTCACCACTATAGGGGTGTATCCTTTCAGCGGAGATCCATACTCTCTTGCCAGTCCAAAGTCACCTACTTTCAGAATGCCTTTATGGCTCAATAGCAGGTTGGATGTTTTGAGATCTCTATGAAGGATCCAGTTGTCATGCAGATGTGCCACAGCTCGAAGAAGTTGCTGCATGAGACACTTCACCTCTCCTGAAGATAAAATAAAAAGAAAGTACTGATTGGAAATGCATCCTACATGTACCTGTTCTAAAGCAGTGGGATATATGAAATAAAGTAATGAGAACACATACATTTATCTCAATACAAGAAAATTTTAAAGATGCTGTGGGAGCCTATGGTAACAAAGTGTACCAATGAAGTGTTCTGCACAATGGCCAAAATTAGTACTAATTCTACCAGCAGGTGGATCTACCAACAGTTGTCCCTCTGACATCAGCTGTAGTCATATTATGAAAAATGCTCACTAGAGAGCCTACATTATGTAGTCTTTTAACATTAGCTGTCACGATAACACTGTTAAGAACAAGTAGATTATGAATATACACAGACCTTAACTTAAAAAAAAAAAAAAAAAAAAAAAAAAAAAAAAAAAAAAAAAAAAAAANCTCGTGCTGTTTCAAATGTGCTTCAAACATCACGACACTTCCCCATGTGTGCAAGAACTTACTCTTGCTATAAAACAAAACTCTGCATTTCAGCCACTACAGAAGCCCAGAAACAATTTTGAACGTTGGCTACCCATTTCTCAAAGAGTAAAGTTCTGTATCTTTAAGTTGTTGATAGTGGTTTTCTGGATTATAACATTGCTGTGCACGCAATAAAGTAGAAAGCAATGACTTTCCAAGAAAAACTTGATGCAAAAGGAACTGTGGAGGCAAATCTGACTGTGTGTTGTAACAGTAAAAGAACTCAGCACGTCACCACATTAACCCTTCAGAGCATAGTTGTTGCTATATATACTACCACTTCAGCATCAACAGACTGAATTCTGCCCACAGAGTAAATTTATGTGCTTCAAATGGTTCTGACAATAAACCACTATAATGTCCCTAATCAGCATTAACTGGCTGCACTTTCTAATGAAGGCTGTGTGTCCTGCAAGGTAAAAACTGAATTTTGAATACTCTTAGATGAATTTTATGCTTTAAAGGGATATATGCACCAGCTGAATTAGCAAGACCAGGACTGCAGAAGTACCAAGGAAGTTAAAAGTAACAAAATGTTTACATTTCCCTTAGAAGTTTTCCTGCTTAAAAAGATTTTTTGGCTGGTCTGCTGAAGAACTTCTCTTGGAAACATTGTATATCGTCTGAGGTACTTAGTGCCATTAAATAAAACACAAATGAACGAAATAAAAATGATGGCGTATATTCATGGAATATGTTACATTACCAGACTTTAAATTGAGGTACAGGACAAAACTCCTTGACAATTAAAATGAGTATACTGAAAATTCTGTTACCTGGGATGAAGACTTGCTTCTTCTGTTTCATAGTTTCCATGAGAGATTTTAGATCATGCTCAACATAATCCATTACAATGAAGATCTTGTCCATATTGCTTCCCACAACAATTTCCCTCACTGTAACAATATTTGGATGCTGGGCCTGAAACCAACAGAAAATTGCTGTTATGACTAACTTCATGGAGATGAGTACTTCTTGACAAGTTGCTGGTCACTCAACTACCCAAGGATTTCCCAACATTTTATGGAACCTGAAGGTTCATTACCATGTTCACAAGAGCCCTCCACTGGTCCCTATCCTGAGACAGACGAATCCAGTCCATACTAACCCATCCTGTCTCTAAAATCCATTTTAATAATATGCTTCCACCTATGTCTACATCTTCCTACTGGTCTCTTTCCTTGTGAAAGTGGCATGACATATTCACTAAACACAGCTATTATTTTGGATAATGTCCATCATTTTGAATTTTTTAAACACACCATTTCCCAAACTGAACCTGTTTCCAACATCAGGTGTATGCAATTTGGGAGACGAAATATGTAGGCAGGTGAAGAGACTGCAGAAATAACATCCCCGTTTTGAATCCATTTTATGTAGTTTCTGCATCAAAATAAGACTAAAGGTGTTGACAAACTGAACATTTGTCTAAATTCATAAATGTTTCAACCCCTTCAGTGCTCAAATAGTGTACAATATTGTCACCATTAGGAAGTCAATGTTCTGCAATGGGGCCATTATGCTAAGAACAAAACAGAGAATTTTGTATTCACCTCTTTGTACACAAGTGACAATACAGCTGGGATATGAGGTTCTCAAGACAGTGACTATGAAAAGTATGATCTTCTGGATTACAATGTTGTGTGGTTTGGAGACAGTCCAGTGTTTCAGAGGAACGTATCAACCGTGTTTTCAGGGTCAAAGAGTAAGCCAAGCAAGAAACAAGTAGAGGCCACGACTCGTTTTCTTGTTATGAATTCATTTATCCAAGTGTTATTAAATACCAAACCTCTGTAATTATAAACATTTTTTGATATGTATTTCACTGCTATGGAATTTCAGAATGATGCTCAAAACTTCTAGCTTCTGTTGATTAAAATGAAATATTTTCTTTCACACCTTCGACTATCTGGGACTTAAATTGCTTGGAATCAAAAACCAAAAAGCACAACGTACTGATGAAGTGATTCATGGGCTATTTATAAACACTGTCTGAACTGCAGAAGTTATGACAAATGAGATTTGATTGCAGATGGGGAGGCAGAAGCATCCGAAAGGAGGCAACTGAGCTACAGTTTAATATACTGCTTCAGTATCTGCCTGGAATGATTAAGGACAAAAATTCTCATTCAGGAGAGTACATAACTAGAGATTCAATTGTGGCTCTGAACAATATTCATAAACTAAACTAAACTAAACTTTAAAGGGGGGGGGGAGGATAAATATTTCTGAATCTTATTAAATGTAACTGAAGATGGCAGAAATCTCCATAAATGTCACACGTACCTTTAATAATGTGTTGATTTCTCGCAATGATGTGATTGGAAACCCTTCTTTTTCTTTCTCCATTTTTAATCTTTTAAGGGCAACGACTTCTTCTGTGCGCTTGTCTCTTGCCCGATATACTACACCATATGTCCCTTCTTCAATTCTGTGAAAAATATTTAGGAGTAATCATGATTTGTCATCAATTTTGTGATTTACCACAGCATGTACAATTCTTGCACAGCTGGGATACCTCAGTTGGTATAGCGACTGGCTACGGGCCAGATGACAGTGGGGTTGGTGTTTGAATCCAGGTGGTCAAGAATATTCCCTTCTCCACATCATCCAGACCAGCTTAGGGGCCCACCCAGCTTCCTATCCGATGGGTACCAGGGGATCCTTCCTCAGGGGAAAAGCACGGGGTGTGAAGCTCATCATTCACCTCCAGCTTGTGCTAAGGTCAAGAAAATGTTGATCTATACATCCACTCCACCATATGCCCTCATGGTATAGTGCTTCATTAGTTACGCACAGGGACAACTTGTATCCAATTTTACTAGTACTGTGGTTCAGTGGTGTATATGTTAACCATGTATTTGCCTGATGATGGCTATTAACAGCCGAAACATGTAGCAGAGCCAAAACTAGGCACTGATCTTGATATTAGTTGTGTTGTGACAGTTGTAATAAAGAAGTTGTACAACTTTACCTTTTGCCTTAAGTATAATTTTTGTATTAACTTACCAGTAAAGATGAAGAATTAACATTATAGCCCACATCACCTTTTGTGTGCATGCAGCCTCTCTTAACTTTCAGTAGGTGAGTGGTCAGTGTCATGTCCTGGTCACTTTGCCCCTGAGGAATGAGCCTGTGGTACCCACTGGATAGGAGGGTGAATGAGTTCCAGAGCCAGTTTGGACATACTTGCTGAGAAAAAATCTCTCCCCTAATTAGTAATCCAACCACCATCCTCTGGTTGCCCAGAACACAACCTGGTAACTACACTGACTCAGCTACCCAGCTCCCAATTTTACAATATCCTCTACCAAATAATGGGGGTGGGGACAATGGCAAACTTCACAGTGAGGGGAAATATAATGCAGGTTGGTTTTCAGATCTGTCAAGCTTTATACACAGTTGAATTATGGAAGCCATTTCAGTTAACATGGTATTTTATTTACACTGGTACATCCCAATATAGGTACCATGGAATCTCCATTTAATGTTCCTTGATTTCAGTTTTCCTTAACTGAAACTCAGCAAATTCATAAACCTTCACTGAAGACATTCCTGAGATTAGTGTTCAAATTCACTGGTTCCTGAAAACTTTAAATATGAGTTTCAGTAAGATCTAAAAGTTTGTGAAGGAGGTATATTAAGAGTTTTGGACATTATTCATTTTGTTTTTATGTTTAAAATACAGTGTTTCAGATAATAGACTGTGTCTCCATCCTCAGGCCCAAGTGAGTATGCCTTTACCTGAGAATGGAGACAGACTCATCCCTGAAACATTGCCTGTGGGGGGGGGGACTGACAATGTTCAAATATTCAATAATTGTAAGAGTTTTGATATTGGCCCACACTTTTCTATAGATTTAATGTCTGTATTTCTCTGGACGTTTAAGAGAGAAATAACATCACAATGACACATGCCTTCCAGAATTGCTTCCAGCGATGGAAGACCCACTGGGCTAAGTGTGTGGAGTCACAAGGGGCCTACTTTGAAGGCGATTAGGTATTGTAACCACCCAGATACATAACTTTTTTTTTCCCGGCACAAGGTCGGATACTTTTTGGACAGAGTACTATATATAAGGCTCACTAAATAATGATCTTACATTGTGACTCAAAAAATATATTTTTAAAGATCACTTGCTTGACTTAAAGTAAGTTTTACAGAAGTCAAGGGGAGGGAGATGGTCATCAACCAAGGCACTATCTGATGCTCAGCCAATAACGGAAATTTCTAATACTGAGAGTGTTGAACTTTTTCCCTGTAATTGTGTAACTTTAACTTATTTTGGCCATTCTTAAGACATAAACTCCTACTGCACCTTACAATAAACATCTGAAATGTACCTATTAAGACATTGGAACTCTTCCACACTTCTGCATCCTTGGATAGCTGGCAGATATGGTGGAAGTTCCTCTTGCATCACAACATCTGATTTTGGAGACTCGTCATTGATGAAGGGAATTCCATTCTCTTCCTCTTCATCTGACTGTTTGTCTACAGGCTTCGTGGCAGAGGCTGGCATCTCATTTTCATCTCTATTACCATCTGATCCCAGACGTCGTTTTGCTGAAGCAGGCGAGTGGTTACGACTGTTATAACCAGCTTCATCATCTGTGTGATGGCCACCTGAATCAGTTTCAACTGAAAACACATCATATTCATTATAATCATAAGGCTACAACAGGAGACACATGTCATTTTATAAAAGTGTGAGGGTAAAAAGGTAAATTTGTCCCTGTGCTCAATGAATTAAGCAACTATGCCATGAAGGTTTATGGGGGAGTGGATGTAAAGATCCACATTTTCTTGAGCAAACGTATTAAAGATAACAGCGGCGCACACACAGGGAACCCGCACAGAATACATGAACAGTGCTGAAAGCAAGAAGTAGCCACTGCAGCACATGTAGACATAGAGCAGGTATCCCTGAGGGGGGGGGGACATCGGCAAGCGCATATTAACAGATATTTTAAACATAACTGACAAATTAGCAAGGGGATTCTGGTATATCGGGAGCGAATGAAATGCAGCAATGACAATTGAGAAAGCTGGTGCTTTTAAATTTTAAATTACATGCAGTGTAACAGCTACGTAAACGAAATACACCTGATGATGGCCAGTTACGGCCGAAACATGTAGTGTGTAAGAAGAAAGACAAAGAACTACAATTGTTGCATTTATATTATATGCATAGAAGTGTAGAGTGCAACAGGATGCTTAAATATAATATACTTTTCTAATTCATTTTTCACCTATCATCCTACTATTTGACTCTATACAGTCTGAGCTATAAAATAAACCACAAATACAACAGTCTGCATTCATCACTAGCTTTAGAAACAAGCAACATAGCAAGCCCATGATCCCTTCATCCTGTACAATACATAGTTGCAACTCTTAATGCCTCACCAGCTTTAATGTCACCCTCACTCCAATGTAAAGTATCGTTCTCATATATGAGGCATTACACAACCATATAAGACAACTCTTCCATGATTTCAGTCCGCAAGTGAACCAGACCCACCATTTCTCTGAAAAAAAAATCTGGTAGTGCTGGGACTCAAACCCGGATCTCTGGATCTGTAGCCAGGAATGCTGACCACTAGACCACTGAGGCAGTCATCATATAAGACAACAAGGGGCCAAATTAAGAATTACTATATATTAAGTAGGGGTGTTTTACTGTTTCTCTTTTCCATTATAAGTCCACCTGATGAAGAGCAATGAACAGACAAAAACCTTCACTATTTTAACTGTATCCCCACAGCGATTATCTCTGAAGTTTATACTACCCCATAAAAATCTACTTTTCAACATATAAAATATATGTCTTCTAAGGGGACAGAAATTGAAAATAAAGATAAGAATAAGATGCAACTGTTCAGAATCATAAGGCCGATTCACTTGTCTACTGTCAGTAGATCACCTTTCTCACATTTGTGCAATGCATATGCATTAACATAACTGCTGACTAGCAGAGGTGAAAAGAATAATTCTTGAACAGTCAGGCTGAAAGCTGAATAAACAAATGACAAACCAGCCTCATCTTCCTCAGACTCAGTGCTACTGTCACTGTCCTCATCATCATCTTCTTCTTCTTCCTCCTCTTCCTCTTCCTCTTCTGCCTCACTAGAGACATCCTCCTCTTCATCCCCTGGACTACTCCCTCTGGTACCTGCTGGCCTGACCATGCCTCCAGGCTGCTGCTTTCCTTGTTCCACAGCATGGAGCTGCTCTTCATCTGAGTCATCTGACAATGTCACAATATTGTTGGCAGCATCAGCATTCTCTTGACCACCTACAGTGAAAGCAATAACAATGAAAATTACCATAAAGGCAAAATGTAATATTATATAAACCATTTGTGTAACTGCTAAACTGTAAGCTGACACTACTCAATGGATGTAACAAATGAAGTGAACACTTATACAATTTATTGTGCGTAAATTACATGAGACACAAGAAGTAATGTTACATTGCTGGAAGCAGCAATTCAGAAAGCTTGTTTATCAACTTATGCATGTATGAAATTCATGAAGTCTCCATGAGGGTGCCTTGAGCATACACGATCAATATGGCGAATCAAGTGGGAAAGGGTACAGTGTCTTATGTATTGTCCGGATTTTAAGTCAGCCACATCTGTGCACAATTTATTTGTATTTATATTTGTAATGATCTACTGGGAAGAGACACATTTAGGCATGGCATAAAGTTTCCAGAAACAAGACATCTGTGCAAAGGCATGAGTCATAGCAGGTAGGGGTAAGAGAAGGAACAGTTTAGAAGCTTCATGCTCTATACATACATAGCCCAAGAAAGTCAACAGTCAGGGCTAGTTGACACTCAGGTGTCCTACAGACTATAGTTTGCAATATTTTAGAGGGACAATTAGCCATGGTGCAGATGGTTAACACAATTACTGGCTATGACAAAGCATCAAAATGTATAGTTTCTGGTGACTTTCTGAACTGGATGGAAGATGATGATGTTATCTCATGTTGTCTTTAGTGACGAAGCAATTTCTCACATCACTGGCTATGAGAATCCCCACAGTGTGAAGACACAGGAGATGCAAAATAATCATGCCACAGTTCACACTGGTGAGAGTCTGCCCAACGACACCTAAGGTTCACTTTTATTTGTTCAAAAACTGTAACCAAAATGTTTACTCAGATATGCTTCAGAACTGGGTAAGTAATGCCTCAACTTAATGAAAACTTTGGAGAAACTTTTATATGTCAACAAGTTGGGGTACCACCCCATTATCACAATGAAGTAACAAGATTCCTAAATGTGAAAATACTCAGATGATGGACTGGTTGTGCAGGTCCAAAGGCATGGCCTCCCTGATCACCTGATCTGACATCTATGGACTTTTTCTTATGAAGCTGCATTAACCCTTTCGCGCGGTCATTTAAATTCCGCTGCCGTCTCTCCGGCGGTAATATATTCAGCTGTCCATTTAAATTTTACTCGAAAATGATTTATTCATCATTGTTCTTAAATTATATGAGATAGGAACATGAAACTTTCACTAAAATGATCTTAAAAGGTGGTTTTATAACCTTACCTTATAATATGAGCGCCCTGTATCTCGGCAATGGAAGCAGGTTGTTTAGTATTTGAGCAGTGAATGGTACGCCTTGAAGGATGAAACTTTCACTAAAATGATCTTAAAAGATGGTTTTTATAACCTTACCTTATAATATGAGCGCCCGGTATCTCGGCAATGGAAGCAGTTGGTTTAGAATTTGAGCAATGTAAGGAAGGCCTTNGTTGCTATGCCTTTGATATTCCATCCATTTTGGCGGCAGTAGATGTCGTAGGGGTGACCACAGAATTCATGAAGTTATTCTAAGAACTGGCTGGTATGTAGTGCACGAAAGCAGAGCTTAGCTGGCTCAAAAAAAATATTCATGGTCATCCCTCGAAACGACCACCAAGGTCAGTACGATAAAATGGTGTCAACTGGAGCGATAGTACATGAAGGAATGAGTTCTTTTTCCCCCCCACACACACCAGTATCGTCATAGGGGTGACCACAGTGTTCTGCCTTAATTCGTGACGTTTTTCTAAGAACTCGCTGCTATGTACTGTGCGAAATCAATCGATCTTGCAAGAATACATTTTTGGACATCCCTCTTCTAAGAATTCCAATTGAGTGTGTTAGTGTGGCCAGCTCAGGGCAATATGATATTATAAACACAGCACATATCAGGTCTCTGCTGTTTATAACTTCATAGCAAAGAAAACACGCCATTCATAACAGCTTGAACGAGGAAAACTCTACCAGAAGCAACACGAATTTGCTGCAAGACAGGCATATGTAACGATGACTTAGCGCAGCTAAACTTGTGGCTTATTATACTCTGTTCTTGTGACAACAGGCCAGCGAAAAATCTAACAATCTACAGCAAAACCATCAATTATTATGGGCGTTATAACATAGGTGTGCAGCTAGACGAAACTTAGACGTCGAACCCCCGCAGACGATTTAAATACCTGACGAAACATACACGTCAAACCACGCTGAACGGTTAAAGATCAGGTTAAAGCCTCTCTTCTGCCAAGCAATTTTCAGGAAATTAAGACAGGATTTGTGAAGCTGTAGAGCTTATTGATACAGATACCTCATGCAAACCATACGCGGAATTCACACATTGTTTGGCTGCAGTCAGGGTTACCCATGGAGCCTGCACTGAACACTTCCAGGTTGATAAAAAACTTTTTGAGTCACTGCTTCCAACAAATGTAATGTTGGTTTTATATCTCATTTAATCTACTCACTATAAATTTGTGAAAGAAATCCGTTTTTTATAACATCCCTGTATAATGCAAACATTTCCTTCTTTAACAACTGCCACACGTGAGTAAATATTCAGCCCACAGTAATGACAAAAGCACTGAACTGGTGTTGTCAACCATGTAACTGTTCATATTTCATTTTCATAAAACGTAGAATGAATAGAGAGGGATCTTGTACTTATATTGTGATTTTCTGAATTTAAAATAAAAAGATTTGTATTGTTAACCATGAAAAGCATGAGTGAAAGAATATACGATGATGCAAGAGGTAAAATCTCCAACTTTCTAAACAAATTCCTACATGAAACAGCTGAACATTAAACATGATTCAAAGTTTTGAAGCTAGCAACACTAAAAGATATAAAAAAGATATTTCAAGGTTGAAAGTATTAAGCACAGGAATTTAAATACCATGCACTATGCTAACATTAAATCCCTTATATACAACAATTTTGTTACTTAATAATCCAAACGCTAATATAAGTCAACACCTAGTTTTACAGACATGTTCATTTTATGTTTCACCTTTACAAGTAACCATTCTGCTGCATGACAACTGTATACATAGTTTGAACTACATTATGGTAATTCCATCAATTACACCCAAAATATAAGATTGAAATGTGAACCTATAATACAATGACATGCACTACTGTGCAGAATTTATACATAAGATAAATATGGAATGTGATGTGACACTTTCATACTTGTAGGCTGTCCCAAGACTCAAACAATACTATAAAGATGCTTTTTATGCATTTTTTATGCATCAATGACTTCATACTGGTACCAGCTTTACACACTCAAGGAGTAAAATACAGGTCCACTATAATTACATTTTCTTCTCTTTCATACTTACCATTTCTTTCTGTGTTACCCTTGGTTTCATCACCTTCCTCCTCTATTCTACGTTTCTTCCTCTCTCTACTGCGACTGCGTTCTCTTTTTTTGGCAATTTCCCTGAGAGTACGTTCTTTCTCTTTCTCTAAGTGTCGACGTTCACGTCTTGCTTCCAGCTCTCGTCGGTACACCTCCTTCTGTCGCACCATCTCTCTGTCTGAAGTATCATCGGCAACATAAGATCCAGAACATTTAATTAAATGTTCTTGTTTCTAATCATAAAGAAAACATACATAACAGGTAAAGCAGAAATCATGAAAATGATTCACCAGAACGAGAAAACAATACATGCTTCAAACAAAATCTAATAGTGGTAACCAGATATTATTAGACTATATGAATATGCAACTGAAGCAATGCAAATTATAAGCCGAATCTTAATCCATAATATGTAAAAACGAGTGTCACGGAAGCTGATCACAGAGGGATTGTGTCACTTGGGCACACACATGCTTCTTGTCTTATTGCACATTTAGACCCCAATCTCTAAGAACCTGGAATGGAATGCATCACCTGGCCTGCACATACATCACTCTGCCTTCTGGAATGTTAGGGAACCCCACTGCCTGATGAGGAAGACTGAGGTCACCTGCAAAAATCTGAGTCTTCCCTACTGATGACATGCCTATAAAAGGGAAGAGGTGGTGGAGAGAGTGAATTTCTTCAGTTTTCATTTCAGTGCAGTGCAGAACAGAGAAGCAGAGCTGAATGCAGTGCAGAGCAGTGGAGTTTGAGTGCAGCACTATGACTAGTGGGGTGTAGCTGTGAAGTAACAAGTGAACAAAGAACCGACTTCAAGAGAATAAATGTTTATGAATGGTGAGACAATAACAGCTCCACATCTCAAGAATTGCTACACTATATATAAAGTGGGCTGTCAGCTCTGAGTATACAGTAATCATGGATATACACAAAGTATATACTCATAGACAGGTTCATTTGTAGGTCAAAACCTGTACAAAGTATGTATCTTGAATAAACAATTATTTTATTTTTATGTTTCCTTAAAGAAGCCAGACATGTTGGCATAACACTAAGACTCTAACTTGAGAAGCTGACAGTACTCAGATAATTATAATCAAATTTCCCATCTTTCATGGACTTGAATATTCATTATAATGTTTGAAGGGTCCACCACTGAATCCCTTTAATATTATCCTCCCAACTAGGTCTCCAAAGCAGTCTTTTTCCTTCGGTTTTGGTGACCAAAACTCAATATGCATGCTGTACTGCCCCCCTGCAAGGTACATGCCCTAAGCTCCTGAATCTGAACCTCGTCATATTTTGCAAAAAGTACAAATAATGAAGCTCCTCATTATGGAATACTTGGGAAAACAGTAGCAGTCTATAACTATGTATCTGGGAGACATTAGTACAGAGCTTAGGAAAAGGATTATAGCCATTAACACTCCACTTTGAAATGAACACATCTGTATATGACATATGACATAAACTCCGTCCTAAGTGCAACAATTTATTGTAGTTCTTTCGTCTTGCTTTCTTCTACACTACATGTTTCGGCCACAAACGGCCATCCTCAGGTGTATACTCTCACGTAGCTGCTACACTGCACGTAGTTTAAAATTTAAAAAACACTACTCTTCCCAATTGTTCATTTCGCCCTTGCTAACAGGTTTCGATATATCAGAATCTTCCCCGCTGATATCTGTCTGATATGTACAAAATCTTTGTTAACCTACACATGTCAATTTGATTTTCATAAACTGGCACTTTTAAAATCTAGAGTTCCAATTTTAAAAATTTCTTTAAATTTTTTCAAATTTTAAAATTTAAAATTCTCAGGGTTACCCGCCCTATGTCTATAGTGCTGCTGGGGCTACTTCATGTTTTCACCACTGTTCAGGTGTTATTCTGTGTAGGCTCCCTGTGTGCGTGCTGCTGCTTATCTTTAATACACTTATTATGAACACATCTGTATTGTTAAAATTTGTTTTCATTAGTACACTACTTTCATGCGTATGTAGGAAAAGTACTTAATAGGGATTTCCTTGGCATTAATTTAATTTAAATTATTAATAATATACTTTTGAAGTAAAGAGCATAATTTCTAAAAATCTAGAATATTAATTTCAATTTTAGTTTATTTCTCTCGATTTTACTCATACATTTTCATCAAATCATTCAGTTCAGGAAGCCCTTCCAAAAGTCAAATCATTGCACCATTATAAATTAATGAAAATTATGTACACCGTGTACAATCCAAAGGCTAGAATGCTATCAGATGTGAGGGAGTTCTAGAAGTCAGTTATGATTTCACTAAACTATATTTTATTACATTGTGGTATGTAGACCTGTTGCTAGGCAACGACCAACAAATGAGCAACTATAGAACAGCCATTGCTCAGTAATGGCTCCGCAAACAAGAATGTTTTCATGGCAAAAAAAGAATACAGCAATAATGGAAGAGATGTTTTCTATGGAATCTGTGCCGAGATGTTATAAGCACAACCAGTTAGCAATAGCAGTTAGTTAGAGAACTGATGGGGTTCAGTCACTGTGAGCTGTTGCTGTTAGAAGCTGGTAGCAGAGGCCAGGGACAGTTTGGGAATCCAGAGGAAGGGGAACATCAGTCATTCGAAGCCGCTACCAAGCAATGGCAGTGAAGACGTGACTGTGGACACTAGTGTGTGTTTAATAGAGAACTGTAAAGTGTAGTAATGCGCTGTATCAGAGAGTCCAATAAATCAAGTCATCAATCCAAAATCCGTCTACAGTCACTCTCACATCAGGTGAAAACTGGTGTCAGAAGTGGTACACATGTTAATCTTTTTATGCAGGATCAGATGTAGAAGAAGTAACTAGGATGACGTGTAAAGGATTGGCTTCTTGAGTTAAAATGTTAACATCCTTGACAGAAATATGTATGCTAAATTCTGATAAATTGGATTTACTGCTGGCTATAGAAGGAGCTCTACTGTCTTCAACATCTTCCCCTTCACTTTCAGGTGATCCATGTTGACACTTAGAAGATGATATCAGGAGCTTGTCTAAACATGACATCTGAGAAGAAGGTCGATTCAAAACTGAAAATCTCTCATCTAGCTACAACTCAGGCTGCAGTTCTTTGATCTCAGACTCCTTTCCTTTCATATCATGAGACAAGATTTAAAACTTGTGCCAGGAAGTCCCAAAGTTCTTTCTGGGCAGCAAAGAGTTCAGATCTTGTTCTACTCTGCTCCTCATTGATGGCTGCTTTACCTGAATCTCAGACTGCAAACTGCTCTGCAAGTTCAACGGCTCCATTTCGTCTGAGCTTCTGACTACGGTGATTGGGCTACTTTTTATCAGATGATGGAATATTTTCCACTCTCAAATGTTTCAGAAACTCTTAATTGTTCAGTCATCTTTATTGCCAGAGCTTGCAGGTAATCACAGGCATCCTTTTCACCACTCACCACTGTATAATTTCACTCCCACTGAGCAACAGCATCATTCTTATTTTTGAGTTCGTATTCATCATCCAGCTCTCGCTTCTTCGAGCAGCATCAGTTTCTCTTGCTCCTGTTTTCTCTTCAACTCAGCTCCTGTTTATTCATTATCTGTTAGTTCTTCTAAATGAGCTGTATCTATCTTGTCCTTCACTGACTGCACCTCCCTTCCAAGAGCATCCCTCTGCTCTCTGCTTCCTGCAAGTAGTTTCTGAGGTTCACCAACACCAAACTTTGGAGGCTCTGTTGATGAGCCAAACTTTCACTGTACTGTGCCTCAATTTTCTCCACCTCTGCCTTTAACCTCACTACCTCCTGGTTCATTTAATGAAAATGTCAGTAGCTCAGACTATATAGCGTTGAACAGTAGAATAAACAGTGAATACTGAATTGGAAAGGATTCAGAAGGAAGTGAAAACCATAAAAACCTTCAGTCAGGGTAACCATTGTCCTGGTCACCTCCTGAACACATGTCAGAAGCATTACATGCTTCAAGCCAATTTGTTTAGTCACTAGATATTTAAATCATCATCATAATGAATACAAGAATGAAAAACATTCACTCTTAAGGATTAGAATAAAAAGGTCTGATACCAGCTGCTACAATAGATGTCACTAGAAATAAACATTTAGTTTCGAACACTTTCACAGCCAAAAAAATCCAGAAATCAGATACACATAATAGTATAATACATTTAAACTTAGGAAGATATTTATGTATAAAGGACAGAAATTTAGAAGAAGAATGTTATACACATGTGCGTGGAAAGGCAAAACATTCCACGTGTTCGATTTGGGATAAATACTATGAGTGCAGTTTCACATTATAACTGGCACTGAACATAAAAACGAAATTAGAGGGAGAAACCACGGATTTTACTACAGTAAATATTGGATACAAATGTCCATGACATTATGAGCATACATTAATCTTGGGGTATTCCATGTAATTAAAATGATCCCAAAATATTCAATAAAAATGTAAGAATTGTGTCTTTCAGCTTACAAGGACTTCCATATTCGAACTTCCATTCATCGTCACTGTCGTCCAGGTGGTTTGATTCTGGAACAACGTAAACAAAAACATTCACCTGAAGTTCCTAGCAGAGTTCTTTCTTGAACTCCTACAGTACTGGACTTTTCCTTTACCTGGTACTTCAGCAACCTAGCATATCTTTTAAAAATGACCTGACCATCAACCCTTCTCTAACATGCAGTGTGCATATATGAACCGCAGGCATGAAGTACATAATTCTTATACATTTGAAAGGAGGTTCAATTAAGGCTGAGGAAAGAATTAGTTTCAGCCACCTCTCTTTCGTTATCTCATACATATCATATGAAGTATTGTGACCAAGAACTTGAGTCACCAGAGAACTACTAACGTTGTGCAAACAGTTTTTTGGCACATTTTCTGTACGCTCGTACATGAACTCCATGGTTTGGATGATTTTTTCATATTCAACATTTATGAGCAAGATCTGAGGTTCTCATGAGGAAGCCTGTGAGAATTACTGTCATCTGTGATGCGATGTGTAGTTTCGTAGGTAGGTACCAATGTTTCAGAGGAACCTGCTGCTACCATCTTCAGGGTTGCTTTTCCTGTAGAAGGCAACATTAGGTTCCTTTTAAATAATACTATCTATCTACCACAAGACAGTAATCTTCAACATTTAGTAGTTTCATATCCTATGACGAAAAATAAATGCACCAACTGAAAACCTAAGGGTATCTAGTATAAAAATGATGCTCATAACAGTGAACATCAATACTTACAAAAGATGGAAAAATGTTTTAACTTTCCATTGAATCTTATAATTAATAATTCTCAATTGCTCATGATACAGAGCATTCGGTCTTTATGTATAAACATCTTGGAATGACAAAATAATTTTTTGCACCTTGTTATTATAAATGTTGTGCATAAGTGCAGAACAGTGTTGCTGGAGAGTATATTTCAGCCTACACAAAAGGAAATGACAGGTCAGACGAAACTGTATAACGAGGAGCTACATCATTTGTATTCTTCACCAAATATTATTAGCATAATCAAATCAAGGAGGATGAAACAGAGAGGCATATACCATGCATGTGATAAATGAGAAAAGTATGCAAAATTTTACTCAGAAAACCCAAAGGAAAGAGACCACATGGGAGACCTTAGTTTAGATGGAAGAAATATATTAAAGTGGACCTTAAAGAAACAAGGCATAAGACTATGCACCAGATTTATCTGGTTCAGGTTAGGGTCCTGTGATGGGCTCCTGTAAACACATTAAGGAACCTTTGTTTCATAAAAGGTAAGGAACTTCTTAACTAGCTGAGTAACCAGTAGCTTCTCAACAAGGCCTCTCCCTCTACTGAAGTTCTCAAGATATTAAATATTTAATATAATAAACTCCCAGTCATTTGGTATCCAAGCTTCCAGAATTCTCATGCAAGAAGCATAACAAACAATAAAAAGATTCCTTCAAAAACAAAGTTGTAATGCACATTTGTTCACCTGTCATGCAGTAGTTCTCCCAGACACTATTTACAACGCTGTCATCCAGCCATACGCAGGTACCCTTACAACAGAGGCTAACTGACAGCACATCCCATCAATCTCCTATGTTGCTTAGGAAGACTTTCACACAAGAACCAAAGTGAAAACATGTTTTTACTTTGTATGGGTTTCTGTGACAGTTTTTCTCATGCAACCAGCAAATTCACATACGTGGCAAATCACATTCCCCATACATGCCAGATAATGTCAAATAACCAGGAATTTCCTGTAGCTAACATATCATATTCTTCTTTGAATGACAACCCCTGTCCACAAGTAAGTACCTTTCTTCTAGGCACACTTTCTTTCCAAAAATGTAGCTCCAGTAATATGTAGCAAACCTTCAGCCAATACTAGGGATACATCTCTTGCAAGCAGTGCGCTTTAGTGAATCCACATGGGACGAAGTTAACAGGAAAAATATATCAACTAAATGTTTACACTCCTATATGTGCTGAATAAAACTAACCAAATTGGAATAGAGTGAGTTGAGTTAGTTGGTTGGTTGGCGAGTTACTGCATCAGTCAGCTGAGGCTGGGGATAGTTTGGGAATCCAGAGGAAGGGGAATGTTCGCCACTGGTAGCGACTACCAAGCAACGGTTAGTGGAGGTGTGACTGTGGACACCAGCGTGTGTTTGTGTGTGTGTGTGTGTCTGTGTGTGTGCGCGTGCATGCAATAATGAATTGTAAAGTGTAGTCACATGCTGTATTGTCCAATAAAACCAACTTTCTATGTTTGGCAAATGTTTGTTCACACTTATTTTCATGTTTATAACTGCATCTGCAATGGAAGAGGGTCTGCTGTATTCCTACATGATAAGCAGTGTACTTGAAATAATAGCTTGAGTTGCTTGAATATAAATTATTTCACATACAAACTTTTCTTTCAGTGTACTGTTAATAATCATTAAGAAAGACAAAAATCATCTTTATAACAAAGCATCTTTTTCAAGTATCAAAATTAAGGACTAATATGCAAACCAGAGAGGGACATTAATTATTAATTTTAGAGGCAGAGTGTGAATTTCATGTGTATCATTATTTTTATTTTGTAACAGCAAGTTGGCTCAAGTGGTATCACTTCTAACTTGTATCTAAAAGGTGCCCATTTTGAATCTTGGCTGAGTCAATGATTATCCTGACTGAGGCTTTTCTTCAGTCATTCCAGACAAATGTCAAGATAGTATCATAACTTTGGCCACAATTACTTCCTTCCACATCCTTTTCAATTCAGTATTCACTGTTCTCCAGTGATTCAATCATAGTCTCAGTTACCGAGTGTCACTGAACAAATAAATAAACAATACCACCATTAATAAAAGCAACATGTTGACTGTGGAAAGTTGTGGAGTGGGAGTGATACTGGGACCCTTGATATGGTGTTCTGCAATCTGACGTGGTAACAGACATTTGGGAAGGTACAGTATATAGATTATTGAAGTAATTCTTCTATGGAATATAAAATAACATTGTGGCAGCATGAACTCTACACCTAACGTTCAATTATTTAGTGATAAACTGGGCAGCTGATGAAAAGTAGTACCTTCAAATTATATTCTTTAAAAGAAAGAAAAAAGCCATACAAAAGGAAATAGTTAACAGCGATACGAATATATGTGGTAAATGAAGTTATTTTACATTACACACTTACATGGCAGTCCTGGAATTCATAACTATACATTTTTTATTTTCTTTGTTCTTCAGCATTTTGACTCAGCAAAAGGACATGTTGCTATTAAATATAAAAATGTAAAGGTTTCTATATATATCACACAGAACTGATGCAACTATATCTAAGTTTATTATTTTGCTCTGTGCATGGATAAACATCAGACTGACTTTTGAGCTGTTTATCTGTACCTGGATATGATAGTCTTCCAAAGAAAAGAAACTATAAAATATTACATGACAGAAATATCTTCCCTGAAAAAAACAATACGAGTATATTTAATATTTCTCATTGAAGATTATCTCATCTATTTTTTGTTGTTGGTTGGCTCAATATGAAGTAAAACATATTATAATAAAGCATGACTTTTACATTCATCTTTAGGACAATTTCGGGACTTACAGGGTACCAACTTTTACACCCTATTCATAAAGGGTTTCAGATTCACTCTGCAATTTAAAAACCTGCCTCAATGACTGAAACTTCAGATACCATATTTGGGAATTATAACAAAACATTTTTATTTCTCGACAGAACAAACAACAATAAACCTGTGCAGATGGGGGTCAGAGAGCGCAGAGACAAAATGTGTCCAAGAGAAGGTAATGCTGATAAAAAAAAAACTGTGCTCCTCCAGGTTGGGGGGTTGTGTGGAAGGTTGGTATCCCTACCATACAAGAAAGTTTTATTCAGATTGTCCAAATGAAATGTTGGACTGAATAATTGGAAAGATCACATGACAAGAATGCAAAAGACAGCATGGAAATGTGAACCAAAAGGACAAAAAACTAAGTGGATGGCCTAAATAGAGACTGAATGACCAGTTTCAAATGGAGGCAGAACAAACCTGAACTGTGAAGTTGCTGATGCTGGTGACGATGATTAATAACAATCTAATGAAGTATCTCTTGTGGGTCATTTATGGAGGGCCTTAGACCAGTAATATATATTGTCATGTGTTGGGTATATAACGCGCGACAAGTAACTTCACACTGTATTAGATATAGCGAATTTATTGCACATTCGCTCTCACATTTACACAATTCACAGTCTCACAATTACTGCGGCGAATGCTAGACTGCAACTGGCTGGTTACTCTCTCTCTAGTAACTGGCTCAATACTCAATACTCACTCTGTAATCACTCATTGAATAATCATACCTGAATAATGTTTGCTGGACAACACAGAAAACAGTTACGTAATAGGTACCGTTGTTGCCTGATGCCTTGTTTACCGACTGTCTAGCAACAGTTGTTGCATGGGCTGCCTTGTTGCCTGATGTCATGTTTACCGCTGTTGCTAGCAACGCTGTCGAGAGTTCTTTACTGCTGTGTAGCAACCGCGGTATCCCTTGGCAACAACACAGTAGCTACTCTACCACGTCACTGGGGGGGAAGGGGGGCACCCACTGAGCGTTGTGTACTAATGGAAGGAGTGGGGATGCGTGATGTCACTCGCGAGACCACAGAGTTCACGCGACCCCCACTTCCCGTTGCGCCATCCAGGTCACACTGCTCCCTTCTAAAGGTTGTTCGTCCTGAACAGCCTAACGGTACATCCCCGTTCCTTTTTCTTCCCATTGTCCGTTATCCAACTGCTACATCTGCTTGAGACGAGCTAGTCTTAGAGAAGGAGTGGACGTAGTGGTTGGAGAATGGACAATGGGAAGAGAAAGGAATGGGGATGTACCGTTAGGCTGTTCGGGACGGACAACCTTTAGAAGGGAGCAGTGTGACGTGGATGGCGCAACGGGAAGTAGGGGTCACATGAACTCTGTGGTCTCGCGAGTGACATCACATACACCCACTTCTTCCATTATGATGCTTTGCTCGGTAAACACCCCCTCCACCGCGGTGACATGCCGAGTAGAGCCGCAGTGAGCCGAGCCGAAGCACGCTTGTTGCTACAGAGCAGTAAACAACTCTTGACAGCGTTGCTAGCAAAACCAGTAAACATGACATCAGGCAACAAGGCAGCCCGTGCAATGATTGTTGCTAGGCAATCGGTAAACAAGGCGTCAGGCAACAGCGGTACCGATTACTCAACTGTTTTCTGTGTTGTCTGTGCCGAGGCTAAATAAGGAGCAGCGAACACTATTGAATGATTAGTGATTATAGAGCGAGTAACAATTAACCAGTGAGTTAAAACATAGCAGCTGCTGAAAGGAGTTAAAAATGTAGTTGTCGCCGAGGTCTGTTATAGCGAGTGAATCGTGAATGCGGAAAGAATACCAGAATGTGTGATTAGACGTGATAGTATGAGAAGGTACTGGGAGCGTGTAATTCGGAGAGACTTGGATAGCTCCTGAGTTATTCATACGCGAAGGCTACTGAACAGATTATTGTGTAGGGTTTATAAATTGTGTAAACCCGCAACTGTGCTATAATTGATTGTAGTTTGTTAAATAAACCAATTAACAATCTGAACGGCGTCTTTAGAGACAAAACACGTTACAATATAAACCCTTCTAACATAGTGAAGCGCCAGAGGAAAATGTGCACAGATTCATATTCTGTACCTTCCATTTCAAAATGTTCATTATTCTGTGACCTTATGTTACATAATGTCTATTACATCAAGACCTGTAAAAATTTCACATGAACATAGGAGCTGCCCCCAAAAACAAGCTAGAATAAAAAACAAAATACCTCTGTAAATAAGATCTAAAAGTCTGTGATAATGACAAGGAATCCTCCTACATGTCTCTGGCAGATCATCTGATCAGTCAACACAGCTTGGACATTTCCCCCCTCCGGACTCCCATTATTGCAGCAGAAGTCAGAAAACTACAACTCCATCCAGTGCAGATTATGTGTGAAAGTTGTTTTTATGTTCATGCCATACAGACATTTTGTCTCTTTAGTGATGACTTCTGTTCTGATGGTACTTTCATTTTAGCAACAGCTGTGAAACTGTGCACGGACATGGGTGCTAGGCCTCATGTGTGTGTGGAGTTCTTTTAACGTTTTTAATGCCTGTCTTAACTCTTGAAGAAGATTTATGCTGTGCTTGGTTTATATATCTTATATCGTGTTGGTGCTGCTGTCAGAGTTGTAGGAGGCAATGAAAAGGGAACCCAATGTCTGGGGGTATAACTGAGCCATCCTCTTCCTGGGGGATGTAAATAAGGAGACCTGGACTCCCCAGGTTGGGGGTGTTAAATCTGGGACCGTAAAATATGGTTACAAGTCTCCCGTGACTCTGACCTAAGAATGACTGTGCTGACAAGTACCAACAGCCATGTAAATGGCAGACCAATCCTCTTGTCAGAGACAGCACTCCACATCAACAAACTTGTAACTGTCTGACAGTAATAAAAATCTGTCGTAAGCCCCAGATGGGTGCTTTATTCCAAGACTGGCCAACCAAACGTAGGTTGTAACATAACTTTGACTATGACTTTGGTGCTGCTGTCCAGAGATATGGACTAGCTCCAAACTAGTGGCCAAACTGAGTATGCTTTTACCTGACAACAGAGACAGAATCCAGTCTCTGAAATGTTGCTTTAAGTAAAAAACAGGATGATGCATAATGCCCTCAAACAGAATAATTGTAAAATACCTCAAGTGAGTTATTTCCTCATTTTTTGTTAACATAATGATAGAGACATATGTGAGATTCAATTTAAGTGAATCAAGGCTGGTGTATACAAATTAAGTTACAATTGCACTTTGAGGCAATGCTGCTAACATGGCAATGTGTTCTGATATGCCATCCAATTACACATTAATAATAGTGGTGAACAATCTGTTGTCATGGAAACATTAATGAAAAGAAGCAACTGACTGCAATGTTGATGGGGGTGGCAGACAACTTGAAACTATTGGCATGTCATAATAAACTGAAAAACTACGTATAAGGCACAGGTACCTATATAACAAATGATCAATTGTCAAACTATGGAATGGATAACTAAATGAACTGATGGGGAACTGGTTACAAGTTGTCTTGAACACAAGACTAACAGTATTGTTGACAAAATAAAGAATGTTTGTGCCTGATGCATTTAAAAGTCCTTTAGCAATGGATTCTAGATCAGATTCATGCAGGTAGTACCGACTTTCTGGTCATACTGGGAGTGATGACCTCATAACTACACATTACAGTAAATAAACGTTTTAAGGATTATCTGAAAGAAGGGTATTCTTGAATGTACAAGGGGTGGGCCCCCTTGGCCCTTGCACCGTGACCACAGTGATCTATTGTGCTTGTATTCATAATGGATCTTGGAAGGGGACCACATTCTAACATCAGCCAGGGCAGTAGTGAAGCCAGGGTGCTACAGAGAAGAAAGCACTCTTCATGGTTAGCCACTGTGAGAATCTCAAAACTAACAAAGACCAGTGATTTCGTGAAGGGAACTCAATAAATGTCATGTGTAACATATTTTCTGATATCCACTTTCTTTCACATACTTGTAGCAAGAGTATGAAATCAACCAATAAAATAACACGGTCATCTTACATTCAGACTTAGCTTCCATTAAGGTAAATATGGTAGTACACTCAGTGCACTGTCAAAAACTGCCAGTGTTACAAATTATTACAGTGAAAAAACAGGTATACTGGAGAAAATTCTCATTCCTGTTTCAATTCTTGACATTTTTCCAAATTCTCATCTTGAATTGAAAAACATTCTCATATATGCCTAAAAAGGAAAACTGAAATGTCTACATATATGTAACATGTCCTCTGGGAGTATTCACCATGCCACTGCTTGGACACAGAAACATTGTAAACTGTCTTCTACCATTGCTAATAAAGGGCAAAACCATAAACCACATTCTGCCATCACTAGGATATGGAGACACGAATGCTGATAAGGTGTAAATATAAAAGGAAAAAGGAGGTAAAGGTATGAAAGGGATAGAGAAACAGAAGAACAGGCAACAGAAGTGAAGGAAATGTAACATGAAGGAGGAGAAAGGAGGGGATACAGGAATGATAATAAGGTTAACAAATAAAAGGGATGGGAAAGCAACAAGGGACAAAAGAAGACATAGATTAAAAATGAATTGGGGGTGAGAGATTTTCCTCATTATCTTTGATGGTTCATACACTAGCAATAAGAAACCCGAGAAAAAATTCTAGATACCATCATGAATATTTTAAACACCGTGGCAACCTGGCACTTTGAATTTGTGCAGGACTGACTACATCATTATTATTTTCAAAGTGCTCCATAAATGCCTGTCAATATTAATCAGTTAGAACTCCAGTTTCCAATTACACTGGCCATAACAATCCACATATTCTTGCTTTTAAATGAGACCAATCTTCTTCCTTCAACATTTCCACTTTATGTGGGTCATCTATAAAGACCAATAATTATCTACATGAAAAAAACATAATTTTCCAAAAATTCTCCATGAAAACAACTTCAGAGCCAGTCTATAACGATAAAAATGTATACTTCAATAATAACAATAATAGTGGAATTCAATCAAGTTGCTTTTAAATGAACAGAACATATAAAAATGTCATGATAGCATATTCAAGTCTCCAGTTTTTAACCTTACGCAGAAATCTGTAATGAGCAAAACCGTTTATTTAAGGTGATCAAAACAGTGCTTTACTCAAACAGCGTACCTGCTTCTAGAAGACGTTCCCTTCTCATCTCCTTCTCCAAGCGTTCTGCTTTCTCATGAGATGACTCTCTTGGTGCAGTAACTGCAATGATTTCTTCTTCTACTACCCTTCTTTCACGATCACGTTCTCTGTCTCGTTCTCTCCGCTCCACTTTTATTCTTCGATCTGTTCCTCCACCACTGACACCACCACCACCAGTGCCTCCACCGCTGGGAAATAACAGCGAAAGTAAGTGACTGAAATGATACATTGATTATGCCATGGTTAGGTGCCACTGCTTGCTTTCTCACTACTTCTAGCCAAGAAGGGAGGATAATGAAGTGAACACATTATTAAATTACAAACATTCAAGCCACATTTAAAAGATTCTCTCTAATTATGGAACCACCAACCAGAAGAAGGACCCAGGTTCAAAAACTGAATTAACTGATGGCTAAAACTTAACCAACATGCTAGCTTTTTGGTAGCTCCAGGCTTCTTTCCATCATTCTGGACCTGTTACAGCACAGTCTGTTTGCTTTAGAATATGCCATTAGGAAGGTCCAGGAAAACCAGGTGGGACTGAAATTAAATGGGACACATCAGCCGTGGGTCTATGCTGATGATGTGAATCTACTGGGTGATAATAGATTCCATAAACAAAATCAAAGAAACTTTAAATGACCCTAGTAAGGAGGTCGGTCTTAAAGTAAACACAGAGAAAACTAAGTATGTCTTTCTGTCATGTCACCGAAATGCAGGGCAAAATCAAGGCAGATGTTTTGAAAATATGGCACAGTTCAGATATTTGGGAAAAACTATAACAAATCAAAACCTGATTCAGGAGGAAATTAAGAGGAGACTGAACTCAGGTAATGCTTGCTACCATTCAGTCCAGAACCTTTTGTCTTCTCATCTGTTGTCCAAAAACATAAAAATTAGAATAAACAAAACTATAATTATGCCTGTGGTTCTGTATGGGTGTGACACTTGGTCTCTGACATTAAGGGAGGACCATAGACTGAGGGTGTTTGAGAACAGGGTGTTGAGAATATTTGGACCAAAGAGAGATGAAGTGACGGGAGGTTCAAGAAAACTGCATAATAAGGAGCTTTATAACTTGAATTCTTCTCAAAGTATAATTAGAACAACCGAGTCAAGGAGGATGAGATGGGCAGGGCATGTACCATGAAGGGGGAGATGAGGAATGCATAAAAGATACTGATGGGAAAGCTAGAAGGAAAAACCAAGACATACGTGGGCAGACAATATTAAAATGGATCTTAGAAAGATAGGATGGGATGGTGGACTGGATTGATTTGGCTCAGAATAGGGATCAGTGGAGGGCTGTTGTGAACACAGTAATGAACCTTCGGGTTCCATAAAATGCTGGGAAGTTCTTTAGTAGCTGCACAATTGGCAGCTTCTCAAGAACGGCTCAGCTCCATGAGCAACTGATTAGTATCCTGTAATTTCTGTTTGATTAGTTCTGCTCAAATGATCTTCCCCAACTCCCAAGCATACATAAATTTTTGGATGGGATGAATTCAGAAGAATGATTGGATGAATGAATGCATAAGGGGTGGCCCTTCTCGGCCCTTGCACTGTGACCTACAGTGATCTATTGTGCTTCCCCTTGTGATTATCTCCTCAGCAATCCTGCGCTTCGAATGAAGTGCAAGTACAAACTTTGAAGTTGTGTGTGCTGAAGCTACCTATGTAAGAAAATGTATTTTTAAATAAATAGCTGCATCAATTTGATCAATCTCACATACACTGCATAATCATCAATGTACTTTTAATATGATCCACTCTTATGTTTAAATAAGATACATAGGGACTGGAGGCATAATTCCATGAATTTTAAACTTGGTAGTAGATGGAGGTGATTGGTCATCTGTTCTGGCCCCTGTATCCCTGGGAAAAGGGAATCTGGAACCCACTGAATAGGAGGCTGGATGGTTCCAGAGGCAGTCTGCATGCTGTAAAAAGAGAAATCTCTTCCCACTGCCACAAATCAAACAGTTTCTTGGTCTTTGAGTCAACAGCTTAGTAGAACCAAATGAACTATTCTGGCTTCTACAGGAGCAAATCTTTCTCAGTATAATAATATTATGCTTTACCCATTGCCTCTTTCAGTGTCACCGCCACCAACTCCTGCACCTCCACTTCGACCTTCATTTCGTCGCTTGTCTAGCAGTCGCTCCCTCAGATCCTCCAACACACGTTCCCCACGCTCATTTGACATTTTGTCTTTACTTCTGCTTCCCAAACCACCATCCGTTATTCCTCTAGAATCACGTTCACGACCACTGCTGCTGATAACATCACGTTCACGATCTCGTTCCCGCTCACGCTCCCTATCACGTTTATTCTCCCTGGCTGCTGCAGCTGCCTCACGACGCTCCCTGCCAGTAAAAGTAATTCATTACACATATATCGGTGACAATGTGTTTTCTTAGCTACTTTATCAAATATACAAAAACTCTTATTACATGGTAATATGGAAGTTTTTTTTTTATTGCTAGTGGGGTGGGACTAAGTCCCTTGTACTGCGGCCACTTCTGACCTACTGTACCAGCCCCAGATGATAGGTGAGGGTGACTGTGGAGCAATTGGTGGAATGAAGCTCGGCAGGGGAAACTGAAGTACTCGGAGAAAACCTGCCCCAGCGCCACTTTGTCCACCACAAATCCCACTTGACCAGACCCGGGATCGAGCCCGGGCCACCGTGATGGGAAGCCAGTGACTAACCGCTTGAGCTATGGTGCAGCCTATATGGAAGTTGGTCTAGAAATAAACATAATAAAAATTAAGTACATGTTAATGTCTTGTCACCAAAATGCAGGACAAGATCATAATATCTACTAAATCCCTAAAAATAAAGCAGAGTTCAAGACTGTCTATAACAATATAATGTACAACCCAATGGAGCAGACTCCTTCCTTGAGAAGTCAAGAGTCACTCAGCTGGTCAACGAATTACCCACTTTTAACAAAAATGAAAAGTTCATTACTATTCACAATAGTGTTCCACTGGTTGTCTTGAGCCAGATGAATTCACATGATATAACACCCTACTTCACGAAGATCCAGTTAAATGTTATGCTTCATCTATGCCTGGATCTTCCAAGTGATTCTTACCATCAGATTTTCCAACTAGAATGTTGTACACATCTCATCTTGCCTACATGCTCTACATGTCCCACTCATCTCATCTGCTTTAATCTGTTCATACCAATATTTGGTAAAGTATAAAGTTCCTTACTGCATTATTTTTTCTGTCCTCCTGTTACTGTCTCTCTGTTAAGTTTAAATATTTCCTCAGCACTATTTCCTCTAATGCCCTCATACTACATTTTTTCTTAGGGCGACAGACAAAGTTTCATGTGGAAATAAAGAAACGGCTGAATTTCAGTTTGCATATTTTAATCTTCACGTCTCTCAAAAACGAAATGGGAAAATGAAAGATTTTGAACAGAATGGTAGCAGATATTCCCCAAGTGCCTTCCTTTGTGGAAATAATTTTGGTTTGTTACTATGATTCTCAAGTATCTGAACCATACTGCATTGTTTGGCACTATGCTACAAGCCAGAAGGCCATGGGTTCAAGTCCCGATGAGGTCATTGGATTTTTTTCAATTGACCTAATCCTTCCGGCCGCACTAGGCCCTGGGGGTTACTCAGCCTCTAACAGAAATGAGTACCAGGAATTAATTAAATAATTTTCCTGGGGAGTAAAGTGCGGTCGGTGCGTAAGGCTGACAACCTTACCGCCATCTTTGAGCCGATTGTCAAGGTAATGTGGGACCCTTAATGTCTCACAACCCTATGGGCCTTCACAGCCTGTTACAGGGATAGCTTTACTTACTTTTTACTGCATTGTGTGGAATTTACTGGATCTTATATATTATGATCTTGGAGACAAGACATTAACATGTAATCAATTTTATTTTGTTTTATTTCTAGACCAACTTCCTTATTACAGTGTAATATGAGTTTCTGTATTTTTGGTATTAAATCTTTGCTTAATACATAACATCATCAGCACAGACTATACACTGATGTTTTCAAAATTCCAGCCCTTCTCGATCTTACACATATATGTGTACATAAAACTACATCAATTATAAGCACTGATTCACCAATTTTATCATACATACACAAGCACATATTTATAATTTTTAGTCTATTTTCATTATTTTGAAAAAAATTAAACGAGGCTTATGAGATCATCTTGCTGTCTATGAGTCCCAGTCAACTTTTCAATGCCTTGACCATTCCTTATGAAACTTGGTATGTATATCATGGCAAATGGGCCCATCTCAGTTGCATATTTCACAAATCCCTCCTATCAGTCTGTGTCTGTATATGTAACCTTCTATTGTTGCTATGTAACAGCTTGGTAAACATGTTCTTGCAGCAATGAATACATACGATAGAAGAATTGAAGCATGTACCATTTTCTATAGTCCGTGTTGTATCAAAGGAGAGTCTGTTTATCACAAATTTTAGTATAACGATGGTGTAAAGTCTCCCAAAGCTGTCAAACCATAAAATATGGCCAAGTGTCCCACAGGATTCGGAACCACAAATCACTGCATTGGCAAGGAACAGCAGCAATTTATTGGACTGGATGGGATCATGTATCCCCTTACTGTTGCTAGGCAACAGTTTAATAAATATATTCTCATGGCAATGAAGAACTGTCGGAGGTGCCATTTTCCATGCAATCTGTGTAATATCAAAGGAAAGCAGATGATTAATACTTACCAGGACTTCTTGTTACAATTTTAATACAAGTATATTGCATACGCTATATGCAGGAAAGCATCATGTAGAGCTCATGCACAGTGCAGCATAGTCATTTATGCTGTGTCCCATGCTGTTCAATTACATGGACCAGACTTTATATTATAACTTTGTTCCTGCAGTATACTAAGGAAAATTACATGTAATTCAAATGAAACTGATGACATGGGGAAAGGAATACAAAAACGTGTCATTCATATTCCTAATGAAATTCTTAAGTTCTATTATAATATTAAAATATAACAAAAACACTGCGCACTCGACTAAACGTACAGTAAATGGCTGTTTTGGAAGTATGAGAACCAAAACACAAAGAGTTCAATAATGTGTTAAACATGTGGTTCCAAAATGACAGCTTTAAGAACTGACAACTTTTGGCAAACAAACTATACAGAAGTAACTATGCTTTGCATATAAACATGTCATGTACAACAGTACTGCTTTGGTAGCAATTCCATTTCCTCTGTACATGATTTTTCTATCTGTTAACAGCATAATCCTTCTGAACAATTTATCCCTTCAACCAGTTTTGACCTCAGTGTCTTACATCTGTGAAATGTGATTAAGATACTGGTAACTGATACACAATTAACATAGAAACTCGAACGCAGGATGTGCGCCACCCATTAAGAAGCTGGTCATGAAAACTCTTAAATCATGGCCGTAAATTCACTTGCCGATGGTGTCGTTTCTCCCGCAGTCTTTCCTCTCTGTGCTCCCTGTGTTCCCGCGCTCGATGGTGACTCTTTCTATGAGAAGATGAGTCTGCTTTCCCATGTATCTAAACAAAGAAATATGAAGATACTTTTAGGTATTCAAATAACATTAAAGCCCTTCTTCAGAGCCTTTGTAACAAATCCCACATACATACTGCAAGTTACTTATGATCATCAATAACACTGAGTGGCATGATTACATTATCAGGATGACTAGCTTCTGAATTAACGGGACCCTGACATTAATCCACCCCCAACACGACACGGGGAGCCAGGATAGCGTAGTTGGTATAGCGACTGGCTATGAGCTGGATGACCAAGGGGTCGGAGTTCGTGTCCTGGTAGGGTCAAGAATTTTCTCGTCTCCAAGTTGTCCAGACTGGCTCTGGGGTCCGCCCAGCCTCCTATCCAATGGGTACTGGGGGTTCTTTCCCCAGGGGTAAAGTGGCTGGGGCGTGAAGCCGACCATTCACCTCGAACTAGTGCCAAGGTGAAGAAAATGTGAATCTATACATCCACTCCCCATATGCCTTCATGGCATAGTGCTTAATTAGTTAAGCAAAGGAACAAATTTACCTTTTACACATGGCATAATGACACATCTGCACCCCAGGCTTTATTCTTTAATTTCAAATGAACAAGCTGACAAGTTGCAACCAATGCAAGCAGCATTTGCCACTTTTTACATATCACTTAAAAACACTTAAGGTGAAAAGAGTGAAACAGTGGTGCTTCATCAATGGTGGGAGAGTCATTGCACATGATTTAACACACTTGTGAACATGCACAATTTCTCTAGTTACCCTGTGCTGTGTCCAAACTCTTGCATCCATTATTTTTCATGTGATAATATAGTGAAGATCCATTGCCTTAAGAAATATGCTTCCAAGCTAAGCAGTTAATACTGTGGAGCATAAATGGTATGAAAGAGCAGTGGAGCTGCCATTTACTCCACATACTAACCAGATCTTCTACATCTATTCAAGCATTTTAGATAAACTTACATGTTCACGTCTGCCACTATCTCTGTCTGAATGTTTATCTCGTTTACTGCTACCACTGCGAGATGAGCTTGACTTGTGGTGATGTATAACAGATGCTTGGGGAGGTTTTATATCCAACGAATCTGCTGTATCATCAGCATCTTCCTCCTCTTCCGATATGCTACAAACATATTATTAGAAATTACTTTTTCCACAAAGGACAATGATATATATATATATATATATATTGGAGGTGACATGCTTTATAAAAAAATACAAAGTTTTTATGGTAATAAATTCAGACATTCATAATTATAACACATGAAAAAAATTAAATTTTCATGTATAGCAGTGTAATACAGATCTTTTTAAGAGAAGTGTGATAAATATGGGAATTAGTTTGTATAATAAGGTCCCCAATCAAATAAAACAAAGGGAAAATTTTAACTCATTTAAAAAGGAATTAAAATCTTTTTTGCTGAAACATTCCTTTTATTCTGTAGATGAATTTATGTCTTTTGATTCATCAAGTGTGTACATGTAATATGTAGCTGATTAATTTGTTGTATTTTGTGTAAAGACAATGAAATGAATGGTAATTACATCTATATATATAGATGTAATTACAATTCATTTCATTGTCTTTACACAAAATATTATTCAGATGACAAACCCCCTATATTAGGGTGGTACAGCGTATTCTGTAAAGATACGCACGAGAATCCGACAATTTCCCTATCCAAATGGTTGTAATACCTGTATGTATGGATTGTTGAATGATAATAAAAATGAAATTAAATGAAATGAAACATGTAAGATTTGAGGCTTTCACGGCGGTGACTATGAAGAAAGCAGTCTTCTGGGACTTGGCACCGTGTATATGTGGTGTTAACCGTTTTACCAGTTCTCACGGTCTCTTCGCTTTGCAGATTTCTTATATTTTTTCTTCTACCCTGAAGATGGGGGCGATACGTTCCTCCGAAACGTCGGTTAACACCACATATACACGGTTCCAAATCCCATAAGACTGCTTTCTCGAAATGAAACATGTTTTCGAACACTCCAAGAACTTAACCTAACGTACCTGAATGCTGTATCGTCTTTCGAAAGTTGCATTGGTGAATGTTTGTGTGGACTCTTTGTAATTTCACCATCCTCGCTTTGATCTTCTGCTTCAATCTCCGAAACATCATATTCTGACATTGCTTCAACGTTGTAGTTCTGTCAGAAACAAATATATCCAAATTCGGTTAGGGCACAACGCGAAACATTTCTATACGTAAACCATAATACACAACCACCACCGGGACCATGCTGAGAACTGCACGAATTCAACGGCAAACGTCTCGGATTACAACACAAACATCGTTGACGATCGTTGCTGTCTGGCTGCATGATTAGATAAATAAATGTAACAACTGGATAGGGTAACCGTCCAAGATGCAATTTGGATGGTGTGGATTGTGTGGTGCTAATGTGGAATACATTGCCCCTGACAATGTATGTGTTGTTGATTCTGATGTAAGGTTTTAAAATAAATAAATTGTACGTTTAAAATGACGTTAAATTTTCGGGAAATATGCCGATTATGTATGGCAAAGAAAGAAAGCCTAGCACCACTGTTCCGTGAACAAGTACAAGATACAATAACCTCACTCTCTGCTAAAATAATGAACTTTGTTCCAGTTCTGAAGGTTTGTTGACTTTTTAATAGAGTTGTATCATTGATAGGTAACACGAAAATATTAAGGTTAAATTGGAATATGTATACTTCTGAGTATTTGATGACATTGATTGTAATCAATGTCTAATAATTATTAGAGTGTAAGCCGTGTTTTTATTTACAAGGTTGTGGTGGTAATGTTGATAGGGATATGAAATGTTAAGAAACTTACACTGCACAATGTATGCGGTTTGGTAATTGAGTTCAGAGTTTTAAGAAACAGTACTGAAAGTACTGGGTACAGAGTTTTGTAAGAGGCTGCAGAACAATATATATTCCAGTGAAGTTGGTTAATTCTCAAACTCTTGTGCTTAATTGAAGTCGCTGTTTTATATTATAGGCCCAGCTGTTTTGTTTTAGTCTGTGAAGAAAATGTGTTTGGTGGGACTTAATTTTGTAGAGGTCTAACCATAAAAGTCAGCAAGCATACCATAATGCTTTGAAGCTTGATTGAAAGTTAATAATGTAACTTAAGTTATTCTTTAAATATTTAATGACTATGTAAGAGTTCATGTTTGGAATGTGTAATGCATGCTTAATATGAACTTTCTTTTATAAATTTCCCTTTACCCCAGCACCTGTACTGATTTCCCTGAAGTGCACAACAGAAAATTGTATCAGGAGCAATGTTAGTATTGGGCAGTGTCAGCAGTAAAAACTTCTCAGGTTTGTGTGCAGAATGTAACAATTATTAGTTATTAATTTTCTCTTCAAATGAAGCTTTGTGTTATCTTTTATCCTTGAATTGCCAGTGCTTATATTTATGAAGGATTAGGAATACAGTGCAACATATCAGTGGTGGTATAATATTGTCATGTGTTGGGTATGTCACGTGACAAATAACTTCACGTGGGTCTCGGATTTAGCGAATCTTTATTGTGCTTTGCTTCTACACTTACACAATCCACCATATAACAATTACTCCTAACCTTATACAATCCAGTACCTTAACTGCTGTTCAACTGAACCTTGGCCAATGCTGGACTTTAACTATATCGTGTGGTGCCTAGGTTCCGACTGATCTTGCAAATACCTTTAACCCTTTTTATACCGTTGGCCATTGCTGTGCCATGAATCCTCGTTATAACCGTGGAGACTCATCTCCGGGGAGATTTGGCATTCACTACGCAACGGCACACTGTTAGGGTTACAATATCGCTATTGTTACTTCCTATGCAGCGGTCTATTCTAGCATTTCCATGGAAGTATCTCTTCTGGATTCCGAACATGTGACAGTATTATTATTATTATTGTGAAATTTATGATGATTTTAGTAGACAAGATATGTAGCCGCCCACCGACGTACATCTGCCACGACTGTCGCTCGAGCTCGAGTTCTTTATCTCAGGGGTACGGGTGCTTCGGAGATGGGAGGGGAACACACTTTGGGGTTAATGAGTCAGGGTCTCCAGAACAAACCATCTATTGCAGTCTTAATTAAAACTTCATTCAATGATCAACATTTACATTGTCCTGCAAGCTAGCTGCTCCATCCATCCTACTCGCTACCCCTACTGTAAAACACTTCTCTGATTTCTGTCTACGTTTAACCAACCATCCTCCTCCACTCCCTATAACTGACTGCCCTCTCTTTACAAGTCCCACAGTGGGCTGAACACAAAACAAGAAAATAACAAGAGAAAGCCAAGGGTCTAGCGTCTAGCCCGACATCTGTCCGACATTCCTATTTTCGAGATGCCCATAAACCTTTGTAGGTCTTCAAGGCACTTGAGCAGGGAACCCAAGACCCCTCCTGGCCCGTCTCGCACAAGGTCAGTTTATGGGTTTATGACACCCTAAGCCTAAGGAGGACAATAGTTGAATTACAACTATACGGTACCGGGATGGTCTCTCAGGGCGTGAAACAATGCATAGGTTGTTAATTCCCTTAATTAAATAATTTTGGCGAGGGACGTACGGTTACAGGTAAATACTGATAAAGATTTCTTTCAGCTATGTGCTGATGATGGCCTGCCAGGCCAGGTATGTCAGAGATGCTCCCGACTGGTGAACTTATCATACAATTTTAAACTGCAGTGTGAAAGTGCAGATGCCACGTTACGGCAGTGTCTGAAATCCCACCAAGTTCAGGTAAATATAAACAGGACACTGAAGTGATTATTTTTATTTAGCTATGAATGTATGGATAACATTATCTTTTTATTTTTTAGAACAGCAAACCTGAAATCATTCATTCTGTGTTCAGAAATGACAGTGGAGACAACTGGGGTTATACAGCTGTAAAAGATGAAGTGAAGGATGAAGTAAAAGATGAAGTACTAGATGACAACTCTGGTGATGATTTTGGCAGCCAGTCAGAAAATGAGAGGGAAATAAGGTTGGGTTATATTGAATAAAAACAATTTTCTTTGAATACTCATACCTAACTTGTTCTAACTTGTTCTATGGACTCACAATTCAGTAATTTGTACTGTTATATAATTGATTGCATTGGAGTTTAATTTTAGTTTACTTTGGATAAGTATTACAGTCTGAAATTAATCTTGATATTCATTACAGTTTACATCCTCTGGTTTCTGTCCATGAAGATGGAAGCAATGAGTGGAAAAATACCCAGCCTAGCTCTTCGGTAAAAGAAGTAACATCAGAAGATAAGACAAAAATAGGATGTATACATTCTAAAACTGGCAACCAAGCCAATAAAAATTGCCCAAGGAAGTCTCCACTTGAAAATGTGAGAACAAAATATAAAGGTGTGTTGTCTTCTAGGGGGAGTGATATAAATAATGTTGGAGCTATGGAATTGGATATTTCTAATATAAATAAAAAATCTTCAGCGATAACAGATTCTGTACAACATGGAATTAAAAGAAAGGAAGCTGTGAAAAGAACAAAGCCAAGGACACGAGGAGAAAAGAAAGGATTTCTTTGCCAGGACTGTGGCAAGAACTTTTCTTATGAACAACATTTACTATTACACCGTAGGACCCACACTGGTGAAAAACCATTCTCGTGTTCTGTTTGTGGTGAATGCTTTAGTGTGAGTAGTAATCTCAATAAACATATGAGAATACACACAGGAGAAAAGCCCTTTCTTTGCACGGTTTGTGGTAAAAATTTCAGTAGAAGTGATACACTGGCAAAGCATATGAGATCTCATACGGGAGAAAAGCCATTTCACTGTGCTGTTTGTGGCAATAATTTTGGTCGTCGCAGTATACTTACAAATCATATGAGAACTCACTCCGGGGAGAAACCCTATCGGTGTACAGAATGTGGACAAAGATTTGCGCAAAGCTATGATCTTACGAAACACATGAGATCACACACGGGTGAGAAGCCTTATCGTTGTACAATGTGTAGAATGAGCTTTGGTCAAAGGAATGGTCTAACTAAACATATGAAGGGTCATCCAGGAGAAGTGCCATTTTCTCGCTTGGACTTTTCTAACAGGATTTCATATAAGATAGAAACACTTAATCTGCTTCCACATTCAGAACCAGTTAAACTATCAGCAAATGCATACAAATATTAAAGTTTGTGGGATACTTAATTTGTGCGACTATCTTTTATTTTATATGCATTTTTTTAATACACTATATTACATTGAATATAAGACACATCCAGTTTCTGAATATGTTTTAGAAAGATTAGAAAGGTGCACATTCCTAAAATTTAAGAAGCACCTCAATTTTCCAGTGGGAAATATGAGTAAGATGTGTCTTATATTCGGAGTAATATGACACATAATTTAGTTCAGAAAGTATGATCCATGAATTTTAATTATTTTTATAACCAGGATTTAGCAGTGCAGTGTTTTGTTTAAAGTATTCATGCATATAAGATTGTGGTTTCAGTGTGTGAGCACAAATTCCATGTGTTAGAGTATACCAGAGCATATATTTATAACTGCTCATTCAGCTATAAATGGCTGGTTCTGTAAAAAATAAAAGTACTGTATATCTAAAACACCTTTGAGAGTGCATCTTCTGACAGACAAAAATTATATCTTTGGAAAGTTACTAGAGCCATACAGTCATATCAGAGATTTCATTAGACCGTGGAACTTTCCTTCGTTAGGTTAGCTGCTGGCCGCGCCATAGCTCAAGCGGCTAGTCACTGGCTTCCCACCGTGGTGGCCCGGGTTCAATCCCAGGTCTGGTCAAGTGGGATTTGTGGTGGACAAAGTGGCCCTGGGGCTGGTTTTCTCCGAGCACTTTGGTTTCCCTTGCCAATCTTCATTCCACCAAATTCTCCATCATAATCATCCGGGGCAGGCTACAATAGGCCAATCAGTGGTCGCTGTGCCGAGTGGACCCAGTTGGACTCCACCCCCCACTAAGCGAATTAAAAAAAAAACAGGTTAGCTGCTCAAAATATGACAGGTTCAGAAATGTTTTAGTCAGAGTATACTGATAAGTAAAACTGCATACGTATAGGTATTAGTAATAGTATTTATCATACAAGGGTTTATTATGATTTGAGATACTTTTATTACAGTATGTGACCTGTAATATATCCAGCAATATGTGTTCACTATTTTAGCACATCTGTAATTGTTGGACATGTTCTGTATTTTTAATTAGACGACAGTATACAAGTACGTACACATTTTTTACAATAAGAGAAATGAATGACCAAATTGGAAGGAGAAAGTAAATTCCTTCTAGCATTTGTCATGTTTGTGTTATCACTTTACAAGCATTTATGGGCAACCAGAAAAGAGAGGGCACTGTGCTCTGCAGATCATCATGAAGGTGGAGTTATGCACATAACTGATTTGAAAGGGAATAAAAACTGGAGTCTTGGAATAGAATGTAAAAGACCACCTCACACTAACTGAAATGAGTGGAATAGTGAAATTATTTGTTATTTCTTGTATGCAGTGCTGACCAACAAAATACACTACTTAATTTAAAATTCTTATACAACATGGTTCCCCCATTTTCAGACTCAACTGGATAGTATTGATGACTTAAGTAATTAAAGTAGTGTCATGCGCAAGAGAAGGTACATATTTCACAGAGCTATTAACCCTTTAAATTCTTTATCAGGTGTGCACAGTTTGGTCTATCATACAATGCAGTTTTAAATCTGCAGTTTTTTTTATATCCTTGGGTGGCATAGATCCATGTTAGGTAGGTCCCTTGTTGCCATGGTGTGGGACGCCCTCCAGGTATGGAGGGTAGCTGCGAATATATTAAATAAGCAGTCGTGGATGGTCGACAAGGGGTGGATCACCACTTGGGGGTTGGGCTAACAACTCCTCAAACTCTGTGGTTTTGTCTGCAAGCGAACTATACAGACCGAGCGACCACCACTTTTCGGCGAAGTTGTATGTCTGAATGTATGTATAAGGGCTGGGGCTTCTCGGCCCTTGGACCATGATCTACAGTGGTCTATTGTGCTTTCCCTTTTGATTATCCCCTCAGCAATCCTGCGCTTCGAATGAACCGCAGGATTTTGTACATGGGGGCATCGAAATAGTCACTTGGTTCCATGAAGTATTGACCCAAGTGACATAATCTTAAATAAGCTAAGGCCTCACATTCACACAGGATATGTGTGGCTGTTTCATTTTCTTCTTGACACCTCTCGCAAGTGGGACTATCACTTAGTCCCAGTTTGAAGAGGTGTCCTTTAAGGTGACAGTGTCCTGTAAGTAGTCCTATCACCCATCGTAGCTAGTTCCTGTTTAACTTCATCAGCTAAAAGACCGAAGGAACTGTTGAAGTTAAACAGGAACTAGCTACAATGGGTGGTAGCTAGTTCCTGTTTAACTTCAACAGTTCCTTCGGTCTTTTAGCTGAGGGTTCTTGTATGAGTCCCTTTGCTTGCATGAGTCCAGTCAAGGATCCCCAGTATTTCTTGTGATTCATATTTGTCCAGCCCTTGATTGCCTTTCTGGCGACTTCTATAGAGATGCCACAGGCTGGTTCAGGTCCTATGAACGAATGTTCAGCTCCAGTCTTGGCCAACTGGTCTATTTCGTTTCCAGCAATACCCTCATGCCCCAGCACCCATATCAGTTGTACTCTGTTATTTTTGGCCAGTTCCATGAGAGTTTGGTGGCAATCCCAGACCAATTTTGAGTTGATCTGCTATATTATATTTAAGCACCCTGTTGCACTATACACTTCTATATGTAATAATACAAATGCCATCCTTAATGCAACAATTTATTTGGTTGTAGTGCTTTGTCTTTTCTTCCTCTACACTACGTGTTTCGGCCGCAACCGGCCATCATCAGGTGTATTTTTCACTACGCAGCTGTCACACTGCACACAATCTAAAATCTAAAACACCAGCCTGTCAGTTTTGTTTAAAATCTCACCAACATATGCTCGTCAATTTGATTTTAGAATTCTAATTTAAAATTTTATAACTTTCAAAATTCAAAATTTAAAGTTTTAAATCAGAGGGATACTTGCTCTGTGTCCACATGTGCTGCAGCAGCTATTTCTTATTTTCAGCACTGTTCATGTATTATTCTGTACAGGCTCCCTGTGTGTGTGATCTGGTGTTTGTCAAGCGCTTTAAGTGCAGCTTGGCTGTCAGATAGAATGTAGATGTTCCTATTTCTGTAGTTCCTATCTAGATTCTCCATAATACATGGATACATGGCTTAATGGCATATACTTCTGCCTGGTATACTGCCGTGTACTGCCCAAGGCAGTTTCTGCCTTGTGCCATAGCAGAACACACCAGCTCCAGTGCCCTTATTTATCTTGGAACCATCTGTATACCAGATCAGTCCCCCTTTTCCATTGGGCCGAAACCCGTCTTCCCACTCACTCCTGTCAGGAAATCTGACTGAATGGTTTTTCATATACGTCTCAGTATGTACGAGTATGCATGTCCGAAACTATCGGATTTAGGTTTCCATTGATCACAGCACTGGAGACGGTAGATTCCTGCCCTGGCCTCTGCCTCCAACTGTAGATGCAGTGGGGGGAGTCCAAGGAGTATCTCTAGTGCAGCTGTTGGAGATTGTTGGCGTAGTGCCAACTTTATTGGATAGAGGATTCCTGTGGTCAGCACAACAAATCCCCACAGCCGTTAATTTCGGTTTTCTAGACCGGAGCCGCTATTTCCTTGAAATACTCTTCAGTTATCCTCATGAGGCCGAATGGACCCCGTTCCAGACCCACTACTCAGAAAATCTGGTAGCACCAGGAATCGAACCTGGACCTCTGGATCTTTAGCCAGGAACTCTGACCACTAGACCACAGAGGCGACAATAAAAAATAAGCTTGTTACAAAAGATCACAAGAGACCTTGGACCCGGATGGATTCCTTGGATAAACAACCTAAGCAAAAGAAAACAGATCTTAAGAGAGATTAGGATGGGATGGTATATATTGGATTGATCTGGCTCAGGATATGGACCAGTGGAGGGCTCTTGTGAACATGGTAATGAACCTTCATGTTCCATGAAATGGTGGGAAGTTCTTGAGTAGCTGCACAATTGGCATCTTCTCAAGAAGGGCTCAGCTCCATGAGTGATGGGTGGCATAGATAAGCTCTGTGCTAAGATATGTGGTATGATTTTGCAGTTGAGTTCATAATGCATATATAGTTCTGAACAGAAAATCTGAAGTGAAGATGCCACTTGGAAGATCTAGGCATAAATGGCAGGCATATTAAAATGTATCCTGAAGAATGAAGGTGGGAAGATGTGGGTTCATACATTTGACTCAAGAGAGTGTAACCATACTTGTCATATTGTTTGCTAACAGATGGCAATACAACATTAATGGGCATGGTCAAGCTTAACCCCCTTACTGTAGGGATGCAGATGGAGAAGAAAGTAAATTTGCCTAGCTCAGGTGAAGGTAAGAATAAGACCAAATAGGACTACAGGCTTGTCTCTGATGAGAGAGGGGCTAATGCACCTCAATGCAGCAGTGAAAGTCCAGGTTGCATAAGCACTTTACTTTAGATATTAATACAGAAAAATACTGTTAAATACACTGTAACTGATTCCTTTGATTTTCTGGCAGTTGCAAGTTTGACAAATTATCAGTCATCCAAGTAACTCTAGTTACTACTTTATACAGATATTGAAATCAACCTGTTTTCAAACTTATTAAAATACCAAATTTTTTAAATTGCAGGATTTGATTACTGAATCTTTTATGTCTGCTTGTCCTGAAGGCGAAACTTCAAATAGTGTCACTGAATGCATATGTTCAAGTACCAACAAGCTACTTTGCACTCAAGACATTGTCAAACAAAGGAACATGGAATTCCATCCCTCGATCTGTGTGTCAACAGACAGAGTTTCTCACTATTGGATAACTAATGGCTGCAGGAATAAAATTATTCTCCTGTTGGGTACTTGAAAGTTTTAGTTTTAGGCTTCTACTAGTTACATAGCTAAGCTGCAGTTATATTATGTTTTGGGAATAGACTAGATTTTTGGTTCCTGTCCTCCCAAAATATATGAGCAATTTTACTTGTAAGACTCAGTTCATCCAAGCATACAGTTAAAATCCTTTTTTGTTTTCACTGTGGGGACTTAGAAATTGTCAGAAAACCCTGGAAGCAACAGTAGTATGAGAAATTATGACTACTGCTTTTCCCTGGGAAGGGGGCATCAACAACCTGTGTTCAGAAATTCACTGTATTCCACAAAAATATTTCAGGTTCAAATTAATCTAAAACAGGGCAGCCTGTCTGGATTTGAACCAAGGATATGTACCACTATAACAGGAGACAGTGATGGGCTTGTAAACACTGTAATGAACACTGGGGTTAGATTAAAGGTGGACAGTTTACTGAATGACTCACTTCAATGGAATTAGTCCAAGATAAATGTGGAATTTTGCTTTAGAAGACATGGAAATATAGTTTTATGTATTCTAGACTTCAGTAAGCAATAGAGGTGAGCAGTCAGTTTGATACCTCAGCTACTTACCTGGGGAAAGAAGTCTTGGGTACCCATTACATCAGTGAATCTCAGAAATGATTTGATTGTAGCTCCAGTAAAACATATTTGTTCCTCTGAAAATTAAGGATGTGGATATCCTTATGTCATTGCCTTGTGAATGATTTATACCTGTTATAATAATAATAGTTTTTTTTGTAGTAAAAATTTAAATATATGAAAACTTCGAAATTATCTTGATACCAGCGGATTAACCAATGAGAAATATTTGTTATCTGTTACCTTATATTAAATATTCATTGCGGTTTTATGTTTGAAAACGTCTTTGAATATTTTGATTACCAAAATACATGATGACAGTACAACATGAATTTTATTATATCATGATGAACATTAAGTGAAGGATCTGAATTCCACCAAAAATATGTTAAATGGATATATCTGATCGTCACAGATGTGATTTGAACAGTAAGAAAAAATATAAGAATGATTTAAGGATACACTGCATATATTCTATTTGTAATGATCCACATGAGTATACAAAGATATTACATAATTTTAACCAGTTTTATGGTCTTCTATTTCATAACATCAATCATATTTTATACTAAATAGTAGAATCAACACTTTGTAGTCTGCAGTTAAAGTGCAGTATGGTGCTGAATCATTGAATTCAAACACTGGTAAACAATTGTCTGTAGTCTGTTTCATAGTACATTTTATTACATTCCATTTAGGTTCACCAGAACTATTCCTTTACAGTATGAATATCAAATTGAACTCCATTAGATTTACAAAAGTTTCAAATGGCAATATATGTAATCAGGCTGTCATATACGTATATTGCCATTCTAATATATACATGTTAAGTGTTCACTTGGATTAGTACATTGGTTTCAGATTAGAGCTCTCACACAATTTGACTGAACTGTTGTATATGTACATCTTATGGGTGCCCATTTTGAAAAGAAAATATCTCCCAGATCTGTATAAATTAATTCACATTCCATGTGACTACACTACATACATTCACATCCAAATATTAACACACACAATAAAAAACAACATACTGAAACAAATGACCACTCAGTTTTTGACCTACTGCATACTTTTATGCAACACAACAGAACAGATCTGTAGAGTGTAGCCGTACCACTGACACCACCAGCTTTATTTGTAATTAAGATTTTTTAATAATTATTGTAATTACGCTTAGGATGTAGTAATGAATATCCAAGGGTGACAGCCCGATTCTTGATTTCAAGAATATGGCCTACTTAACAGCTACAAACAAGGCAGGAAGGACCCCTGCTGCTTTTTCCAAGAAATTTGGTTTGAAAGTCGACCGGCAGAATCCTTTGCTAAAATTATACCTGACAGTTTCTGCATGTCGTAACTTAGAAGGAGGTGTGTCAGCAACCCATGCTACTGCTAGTATTTATCAAGCAACTGTCAGAAAGTGCGTTATGTCATTAAGGGTGTGAGTCCCTTGAAACAAAAAGATGATTTGAGAAGTGTAAGTAGAGTAAACTCCCAAAATTCAAATTGTTCCAATCAACAAAACTAGGGTAGGCGGAGCTGAAGCTGGGGAGACTTCTTGCCTCAAAGTAGAGTCAGTCCTGCTAAGGGGGTCGCTTAATAACTCGCCAAGGATCCAGCCGCAAAAATTAGTGTCACTCTAAGTTTGGTTTAAAAGTTTAAGTTGAAAGTAAAATCATTTCAAAGTGTGGTACTGGAACAGTTACCAATCAGATTAAGTAGGTTTCTCAAGTCTGAATCTAGCATAATAACCAATGTTATTGACTGGAATATTAAAAATGCTCATCAGCCAGTGTTATGTAGTGAATAGCATTAGTCACTCTTGTTTCCCTGCTATAGTGAGGCCTGGATGCACCCTGAGACCGAATCTCATCGCCCTTGTGATGAACTACTACTGATCACCTGTAGTTCTGGATCATCCCTCCCACCCCCCCTTTCTTCCCTAATAGTGAGCCTTTACAATAAGCTTACTGGCGCCCATCCCTCACTGTAACCCATACCCCATCAACTACCCATTCACAATGGCAATAACAAGGGGAAGAAGAGGTGGATAAGACAGCACAGCAGCAACCTGCAAAGTTGACATATTAACAGGTGAGAGGGAACGGTTAGAAAGAAGGGGCTACCAAAGGTGGGCATCGAAGAGCAGTTATAAGAGTACTAACACTCTAAAATTTATTGCTAGGTAATTCACAACAGAACAATTTCACAGGTTTCATGGATTTTGTTGCAAAATCATTTTTCTTGATATCAGGGAGATATTAGGTTTTGAATAAGTCAAAAATGCTTATAGAATTTTATAACTGAACACAACTCATAGGATAATAAATGGACACTCAGTACAAAATGTATACTTAATTATTATCTGTAACTTCCATCTGAAGCCTTCTGTGTCTGTAATAGAATACAACATAATTTATAACATCACAGTCTACCTTTGATAAGGTTTACCAGCAGATCTGTATTTGAGTTGAGACCAGTGAGGGATGAAAAATCACAAAAAGAATAAAATATTGTGAAATGGCATCATTTGACCATGGACCCTGCAGTTTGACTACATTTTATTTTAGTATCTGCGCGCACTTATGTTTGTGAAAAGTAAAAGAAGTGACTTTATTTCTACTTTTATACGAAATTGTGGGGTCATATGTGCTTCTTTTTGATCGTCAAATAGTTAACCCTGCTTCTAAGCAGTCAAAACATTACAAATGCAATATGTACGGAGAGCCTAATGATTATATTGTATATGGATGTGCACACGTTTATTAATATCCCATTTTAATCAAGGAATGTCTGTAGGAAAGGAGCTTCAAATAACTTGTATTATGAGCTGTCGTGATTCAAACGAATGACTGACTGAATGAATGAATGGAGTTCATATTCCCATTGCTCCCTCTGGAGCATAGGGCATCCATGAAATGCTTTTTCACTGCAGTTTTGTAATCTTATAAACAGTTGGTAGGATTCCTTGCATGGGGGATCAGCCTGTCACAAGGCCACTACCTACACAAAAACAGAATAAACACATAATGACAGACATACATGCCTTGAGTGGGATTCGAACCCACAACCCCAGTGATTAAGCGGGCGAGGACAGTTTATGCCTTGGATCGCGTGGCCACTGTGATGAGCAATTCAAATAAGTAGTCACAATGATTTTATGTATAAAATAAGAACTATAATCTTATATCTATGTAAAGTTGTCCCTGTGATTAGCTAATTAAGCACTACACCGTGAAGACGTTTGGGGAAGTGGACATTTAGAACCAATGTTTATTGACTTCGGCACTAGTTGGAGGTGAGTGATCAGCTTCCTTCGGCTGCTTTACCCCTGGGTAAAGTGCCTCCAGTACTCATTGGATAGGAGTCTGAGTGGGCCCCAGAGTCGGTTTGGGTGATGTGGAGAAGAGAAAATTTTTGACGCTACTGGGACTTTTACTTCAACAACTCAGTTGTCCAGCCATTAGCCAGTCACTATACCAACTGTGTTATCCTGGCTCCTAATCTTATATCTAACAAAACCAAAAGTTTGCCAAATATGAAGTAAAATGCAATGAGCGACTCCTTCCACTACATTTTAGTTTGTGCGATGTGACAGTAAATTTCTACAACACTGAAAAATTATAAACAACTTGAAGAGTAGTATCTTCTGGCATGTTACACTATGTAGTCTGGTATAAGTTTCCAAACATTTCAGCGGAACATAATACTTCTATTGACAGGGTTGAAAAGTATGCGGATCAAAGCTCTGGTTGCTGTTTGCTTGCCTTGCTCTTCAACTCTGACAAAGGGGGCACTACATTTCTTCAAAATCTCAGGAAAACTTTTACAGACTACATAGTGTAACATTCCTGAAGACAGTCTTCACAGTCACCATTGTGAGAACCTCAAATCTTGCTAATACATAACTTTTTACCAATGAGCATCCTTGTGTCTTTTAAGAGTACTGCATTCACTGAAACTCTTTCCACAATTATTACATGAGAACGGTTTTTCTCCTGTATGGGTCCTCATATGCCTCTTTAGAGTTCCACACTCACCAAACCGTCTTCCACATTGATTACATGAAAACGGTTTCTCCCCAGTGTGTGTTCTCATATGCCTTTTCAGAGTCCCACACTCACTAAAACTTTTCCCACACTGGCTGCAAGAAAATGGTTTCTCTCCCGTGTGAGTCCTTGTATGTCTTTTCAGAGTACCACATTCCCCAAAACTCTTTCCACATTGTTGACATGTAAATGGCTTTTCACCTGTATGAATTCTTAAATGCCGTTTTAATGTCCCACAGTCAATGAAGCTCTTTCCGCACTGTGTACATGGAAACGGTTTTTCTCCTGTATGTGTCCTCATATGTCGCTTCAGAGTACCACATTCTCCAAAACTCTTCGCACACTGAGTACATGAGAACGGTTTTTCTCCTGTGTGTGTTCTCATGTGTCTTTTTAGAGTACCGCATTCTCCAAAACTTTTTCCACACTGGTTACATGAAGTATGCATCATGATGTACTTACTAGTACTGAAACTTAATGAAACATACTACAAATACACAATTGTTTTTATTATTTGCACAGATAACAGTCACTATCTCAGTTATTAGAGAGCATTCAAAGGCCATAATAAAATTTAAGGATGAACTGGTCCCTGGTCTGACTTCATTCAACCTGTAATAACAGAGGAGTAATTTATGATGCTTCAGTTTCTGTAACAGCCTTTATCCCTAAGTGTACAATAATCATATTTGGTTTCTATCTGTTAAAATATGAGACTGTCATTTGGTTACATAAAGTAGACTATATATATATTTATTTTATTCTGTCACCACAATAGGAAATATGGATACACCATACACCCATCATTTCTTATAACATGTTTCGGCTCATTAAGCCATCCTCAGGTATTTAACTTGTTTACATTTATCTATATTTGTCAGTGTCTGCATGTTTTATAGTGTATGTAAAGTTTTGCCATTTACTCTTAGAGATGAACATACTTTTATATATAACAGCAATGCATATTGCTAAAAAATAGGTATTCCAATATGTAAACATCGACCAATGTATGGAATACTAACAGACAAATACAGGTAAATGTAAACCAACAGAAATATGTAAGAACAATGAATGTACAGTGTATCTTTATTTCCTATTGTTGTGATGGAATAATGTAATGTAATTTCAAACACAAAATATGACACTAAATTATATATATAAACTTTAGTTTTATTCCAAACAAATTTTTATAAGGCTTAGGTATAATCAAGCTCATAACTTCCTAGCATCTTCTTATAATTAAGATTAAACAGTTAGTTTAAACAGATTAAAAAGTTAGTTTATAGAAATGAAATAAACTTTTATTTTTAGTCACTTAAGACAACCTACAATCATAAAAGATATCACGGAACTTACACAGTTATTTTAGGGTATATGCTTATTTTTCATGTTATGGAACATTTTTGACAAACATGATTTGATTATACAGAACTTCAGTGAAGTATCCAGTTTATATGAAAAGATACAATCCACATGCTTCAAAACTGACAGATTTTTCCTACAATTCTCCAGAAAAAAATTCTGTGGTATGAAACGCCTAATATAAAGGTACACACTCATGGATGGTAACGTTATAGGGTATGATGATTATTCACAAAACATGGCTACAGATTCTGTACATTTCAGTACTCCTAAAACATTAATTTTGTAACTAATCCAATCTACTTTTGTTGTCATACTTCCAATTTCATCTTTGAACTACTTTTCTATTTATATTCATAGAACACATCAAAATTTCAATCACTGGAGTGATTAGTCTAGAGTAGCGTTTCTCAACCACTGGGCCCTCATCTTATAGAAAAAATAATTTACTGGGCTGCAGTCTGACAAAGCTTGAGAACCACTGGTCTAGCGGTAATGCTCTAGACTTGTGTTTGGGTGATCCTCAGTTTGAATATCAGTTTATCATCGCTGAGATTTTGTTGTGATTTTCCTCAGCACCTCCAGGCAAATGACAGAATTATACCCTGATTAGGCCATGACCACTTCCTTCCAAATACTTTCCAATTCATCATCATTTACATATCATGAATGAATAAGGGGTGGGCCATAAACAGTCCTTGCATCACGACCTTCAGTGATCCACTGTGCATCATCATACCGTCAGATGCCATTTAACTTCAAGTGTCATCCCCCATCAAAAAAGAAAAATTAATAGAGTTATTACAAATCATACAATTGATTCTAGACAGGGCTATACTAGATGTGACGAAGTTTCTTTATCAAGATGTCATTCGGTATGCTCCTATTCAATGTAAGATGAAAAATGCCAAAGTTACTTCACTATGAGGTGACACATTTGACCTATTAGAATGTTGCTGACCATATACACCTGCTAGGGTTGCAGAGGCTTTAGACTGGTAATAACAAAAACTACAGTCACAGCAAAATCAGATCATTTGGTCTGAGAAACTTCTATGCACAGAAAATAATAAACTAGAAAATCACAATTAAAAACCCCAATTTTGTTTTATGTACTATGACATAACAAAATATGTAACATTGTTTTTTTTTTAAGGGAAGGTGGCTTTGATAGGATTGGATGGTATGGGCTGGATTGATCTGACTCAAGACAAGGACCAGTGGAGAGCACTTTTAAACATGGTAATGAACCTTTGGGTTCCATAAAATGATCAGAAATACTACAGAGGCTGAGAGACTGGCGGCTTCTCAAGAAGGGCTAAGTTCAGTGGAGTTAGTTGGTTAGTTAGGGTAGATGGTCAATTTTTTTTACCTTTTTATGCAGAAACAGACTTCAAGGAGGCAAGTATAGAGCAAGGAGTGATTACTTGCTCCCTGATGTCAATGGTAATCTTAAGTTTGGTTAACTTAGTTCAAACTGGTTATCTTTTCTCTAATCATTTAGTAATATTTACTGACAGTGGTGTGATGTGAGGAATCAACATTTTTTTTCTATATTCTTAGAGCCACTTTTATGAAATTAATAAGGTCTTTTCATCTTTGAAACTAAATTAAGTTAAACTGTTCTTTCAGTATTGTTATAGAATGAATATCCAAGGTCAATTTGTAACACACATGATTAGTCAGAATATAAAGCAAATAATGCCATTATGACTGAAACTGTTATAAACATTTTGGAATAAAAAGGAGATAAATAGATGTGACTGTTACCCTTGCCCTAACACTATACATAATCTAAATATCTTGCACAGCTTGGTGCAGAATTCATATGTATTCAAGACTCTTTCTTCAGTTTCAAGTTTGCTGAATGTAACCAGAAACCGACCCAAAGTTGGAACGTAATCTGATTTGGAGTTTGTTGGGCTGGATAATTCGTTTTGAATGAATGCTAAGAATGGGTGAATAGTTTATCAGAACTATTATAAACATTATTATTATATATTATTATAAAACTATTATAAACTTGACATATGTGGTAAATTGAAAATCATCATTCCATTAACCAGCTGTTTGGTGATATATCAGATTCACCTGTTACACATAAACTGAAAATGTTTTAGACGTAAAAATAATAAAATATCGCCGACGAACTCATAGTGAAAGAGAGCTTAAACTTACTTGTGCTGGGCAAGGCTTTTGTAACAACTACTAATCAAAATACATTTCAAGTTTTGAAATACTTCTTATATATACTGAATACCACATGCAGAACTATTGCTGGATACGAATACCTGTATCCTAAACATTACTACAAAAGTTCGAATCGTTCATATTTGCAACAACACAACTGACATTACCTGATGCAGCATGATTTCTTCACATAATATATAATTTGGGCGGAAGCGGAGAAAAGATATAACCCTTAAAATCTGCTCATCAAATACAAATGTGGATGTTAGAAATGCACCCGTTTATTTATATATTCTATACAACAAAACTAAAATATCGCCATATTGGACATGGCACGGCTTTCTCGATTGATGAGCAATTTCAATTAGTTCATTTTTATACATATATTCAGCAACAGCTGCCCAATTTCAAAATTATTACCATCTTGTAAGATCTTATTTTCAGATACAAAGGAAATAAATGAAAGAAGTATTCCAACAGAAAGCAGTTTATTGCATATAACATTCCTTACATATTCATCAGACCCCAACTTTAGGTATGTGCTTAACGGACACATTTTCCCAAAGAGTATAACGCTAGAAGCCCTGGGGTTAGCACGTTTGGACGGTCATGTAGGTCATGTACGTAACTCTATACGCTCTATACTCCATACTCTTGCCGATGCAACAACAGCCATGACGTTACGCACACTTTACATTGCCATCTATGCGAGAATGTGATGAAACTACTACTAGGGAGTATCAGCCAATGCCAAGAGCTAGATCGGTAAGAAGGATTACTACTATACAACCAATACAAATTTTTTGCAATACTCTAATTGAAAGCTAAAGAGGTGAAAGTTGTCCCTGCGGTTTACTAATTAAGCACTACGCCACTAAGGCATATGGAGGAGTGGATGTATAGATCCACATTTTCTTGACCTATGCACTAGCCGGAGTTGAGTGGTCAGGTTTACGCCCCGGCCGCTTTACCCCCGGGGAAAGAGCCCAGGTACCCATTGGATAGAAGGTTAGGTGGATCCAAGAGCCGGTCTGGACGACGTGGAGAAGAGACAATTTTTGACCCTACTGGAACTCGAAATCCCGACTCCTGTGCTGTCCAGTTCGTAGTCAGGCGTTATACCGATCCGACTATTCTGGCTTCCTCAATACAGTAGTGACTCGTTTTAAAAAATGTGGTACCTTGTGCTGGAGAAGAACTCCCTCGGCTTTTGAAAACGTGACATCTAGAGGCCAGTGAAAGAACGAGTACTTCTTTTATAATTCAAAGTGAAGGAATAATAACAGCAATAACGATTACTTTCCCAAGGGGGGATACTTGGAGCAGGCTATATGAAATGGGGAAGCATGTGGAAGGGATAAGAATCACTTAGACAGTCAAAACATTATGTGCCCTTTGTCGTACTTGAAGGACAGCGCTCATATGTATACCGATCGAAGAGGTAGGTGTAGCAATACAGCTAGAAATTTGTATTCGGGAGGTTTTTTGGTGCGAACATCTGTCGGGATACCGACTATTACAACTGAGACTTTTGATGAAATTCTTTATTCGCACCAGTCAAATGCCTGGATAGTACTTTGATTACTCCACGCTGCTTCCTTCCAAATATCTTGCATTTTTTATTACTGACCAAACGTCCTACCATTTGAAGCTACATAATCTGCAAAATTTACAGCATAATAAAATAAACCATGAAAGAGAACCATAAAATCCCTCGAGTAATCCTTAACCTGAGCTAGATGAATCTGGTTCACATTTTCAAGCTCCATTTCTTACTAAGTTACGTTTAATGTTATCTACGCTTAAGTTTCTCAAGAAATATCTTCCGTTCAGGATTTCTGGATCAAACTTTCATGCATGTTCCTTACCTTGCACGTGTATACCACATGCCCCTCCCAACTGACTTCCTTGACTTGATAAGCCTTGTCAGTAAATAAGTGGAATAGCTTCTAACTGCGATACATGCAGTGACTGTGTTTGCATGATAGTCTACAAACTGCTCACACAGCGATAAAATATTGAATGTTCTAAGATACGAGCGTCCCTGGCAGTGAGGGTTTTGTTAGAACCGATAAGAGCACACAATATTTACAAGGGAAACAGATTTGTCTCTCTTTCTCACAGACACACACACACACACACACACACAGAAACAGATTTAGGTGTGTGTCCTTAAGCTAAGCAGTGCTAGTGAACAATTTTTTAAAATGGGATATATAAAACACAATTTTCAAAATTTCCGCTTCAAACTAACCCCATGAAGCTGGAACATTCTTGAGAAACTAGTAGTCGCTCAGACGCTCAAGGCATCTTCCACCTTTATGGAACCCGAAGGTTCATTACGTTGTTCACAAGAGCCCTCCACTGGTCTCTATTCTGAGCCAGATGAACCCGATCCGTATCACTCCTTCCTATTTCTCTAACATCTATTTTCATATTATCTTCCCACTTACGTCTAATTCTTCCTAGTGGTCTCTTTATTTCTGCGTTTCCCACCAAAACCCCACGTGCATTCCTCTTCTCTTCCACATTGTAAAAAGGTAAAGTTATTCCTGTAACAGGTTAGGAAGGCCCATAGGGATGTAGATGTCGAGACTTCCACATTTTCTAGACAGTCGGCTCACAGTTGTCGGTGAGGTTGTCAGCCTTTACCCTCCAGGAAGATTCCTGGTATTCATTTCTGTTAGAGGCTGTGTCGACCCCAGGGCCATACTGCGGCTGGAAGAATTAGGTCAATCGAAAAATCCAATGACATCGGGAATCGAATCAGCGACCTTCCGACTTGTAGCATAGTGCCTCAACCAACTACGTTACCGCGTGTCCCTTTTCCACATTGTAGTAAGAGTTTGTAGGCTTCCTTTCTAAACAATTGATCTGTTCTAGTGATAAAATTTAGGACTAAATTGAGAGAATATACCTAAAATGATGTAATTAACACTAAATTTGTTTTGTAGTATTGTAGTTAAAATTGTATTCTTAAACACCCAGCCCACACACACACACACACACACACACATATACTTTGTTTATATTATAATGTACGTTGGAAGGAGAGTGTTGTATAGTTGTGTGTAGCAGTGCAGCGGCGATATAGAAATGTTTCGCAGACCTACACAATATGCATTAACTCATATCTACTAAGCTGGACGCAGCTTGTTTCTCATCCAACACTTTTAATGCAAAAATCTGTGTTCTCTATGAAATGCCTCTGTCTGAAAGGTTTCTTCACTGAGTTCGTCTCTGTAATCGGATCTGGAGGAAAGCTTTTGTTAGAGTGAAGAGAGCCTGGGAGATGCAGCAGAAAGCAGAAAACGTGTTCAGCTGAAGCATACCGCTAATGTAGGAAAGAAATAGTTATCCATTCCAGTTTAAATACTAGCGGAAGTAGTAAACTACAAGGAGGAAACATTTTCCAGATATGTTTTATGTTATTTTGCATACTTAATTTACCTTTATGTTCATTTATTAAAGATAAAAATGTATTATTCAAGACTCTAAAGTTAATTAAGTCCCGATGAGGTCATTGGATTTCTTTCAATTGACCTAATCCTTCCAGCCGCACTATGGCCCTGGGGTAGACTCAGCCTCTAACAGAAATGAGTACCAGGAATTAATTAAATAATTTTTCTTGGGAGTAAAGCGCGGCCGGCGCGAAAGGCTGACAACCTTACCGCCATCTTTGAGCCGATTGTCTAGATAATGTGGGACCCTCAACGTCTCACAACCCTATGGGCCTTCACCTCTTGTTACAGGGATAGCTTTACTTTTACTTACGAATATGAACTTACTTAATCCGTTCTTCTTATATGTAACCGTACTAATTTATACATGGTTTTCACACCCGGGGAGTCTCTTCTCCTGCGAAGTACCATCCCGGCACAGTCTAGTTGTAATTCAACGTAGTCCTCCTTAGGTTTATGGTGCCACTATTGTCATTAACGTCGTCAGTTTGCTCATAATGTTATCGTCTGTCAGTTATAGGCAGGTATTTTGGAACATCAGTCCTTGCTTTTATTCTGAGTCTCCAAGGAGGAATGTCACCCTAACAGCGCTTTTTTTATTGCTAGTGGAGTGGGACTAAGTCCCTTGTACTGCGGCCACTTCTGGCCTATTCTACCAGCCCCAAATGACAGGTGAGGGTGATTGTGGAGTAATTGGTGAAATGAAGATTGGCAGAGGAAACCGAAGTACTCGGAGAAAACCTGCCCCAGCGCAACTTTGTCCACCACAAATTCCACTTGACCAGACACGGGATCGAACCCGGGCAGCCGCGGTGGGAAGCCAGCGACTAATCGCTTAAGCTATGGCGCGGCCCTACCTTGATTGTGCTTGGTCCCGTACTTAACGTGCGTCTTGTAACGATAAAAGCTGAAATGAAGGTTTGAATATAACATCTCTCCCCGACAATCTAAAAGCTGGACTGGAACCCATATGAGAATCCGGCTGTAAACCTTTCCAAGTGATCACCACTTAAGGGTTGTACCTGTATGTTAGAGAAGAAGAGGCACTCAGTTGTAGGGAGTGGAAGTGAACGGTTGTTGGAGTCGAGACACCTGAGGACATAGAAGGGAGCAGTGTGTATGGCCAGGGAGGAGTGAATTGGCGTGAATGTGTAATGATGACGAAGCGAGTGACGAGTGACAGGCGACCTTGAAGGAGGGCTAATGTAAAGACTGACAATCACTGTACGCAATTTTAAATTAAAACAGAAATACACGGTGAATATTCTGGAGATCTTGTATTTCATCAACCCCGAAGTGTGTTCCTCTTTCGGTATCCAAAGCCCCAGTATCCCTGGGACTTGGGCCGCGCCATAGCGCAAGCAGTTAGTCGCTGGCTTCCCACCGCGGCGGCCCGGGTTCGATCCCGGGTCTGGTCAAGTGGGATTTGTAGTGGACAAAGTGGCGCTGGGGCACGTTTTCTCCGAGTATTTCGGTTTCCCCTGCCAATCTTCATTCCACCAATTGCTCCACAATCACCCTCACTTATCATCTGGGCCTGGTACAATAGGCCAGAAGTGGCCGCAGTACAAGGGGACTTAGTCCCACTGCAATAGCAATAAAAAGAAATCCCTGGGACTGAGGTCTCATTTCGAGTGAGAGTCGTGGCATCTGTAGGTCGGCAGTCTGCTATATACCTTACGGTGTCGAGGTTGTTTTCTCGTTTTGATCATCTTACAAACGTTAGGACTCTTTGGACGAGTGATCAGCTCATCGCAAGGCCTCTACCTGAACACAGGACAATACAAACACATAATAAACACATATACATAGCAAACATCCATGCCTTCTGTGGGATTCGAACTCACGATCTTGGCTTCCGAGCGAGAGAACACAGTACACGCTTTAGACCGGTCGGCTACCGTGACACAATACAAATTTAGGATTTTTATTTTAGATATTCCATTTTTACGACGGTGCGTGTGAAGATTAGTGTTTTCTGGGATATGACGCTGTATAATCTGGTAGAAATTTGAAGATGTTTCGGAAGAAAATACTTCCGCCCTCTTCAGTGTCGCAGAATGAGCCGAGCAAGTAAATATCAAACAACAACTCTGCTTGTTGTTTCCTAATTTTTACTAAGATTTCTTTGGACCTTGAAGATAAATGTAGCGCGTTCCTCCGCGAATTAAATAAACGTCTAACAGGCTACACTGAGTCACATTCTAGAAGACAGCACCCCTAAAAAATTAAATTCCTCCAACTCCCTTTGATTTAGATCCCCCAGCTACGAATTTGATTGTAGTTGTTCAGAAGTTTCGAGATAATATAAGAGCTTATTTATGAACTTCGCGGTAACACCGCATAAAGTCCCCTAGTTAGTTAGTAATCCATTGCGTTTATAAAAGGATAAATCAAGCGGAGAATGAAAAAAGGATCATAATGACGGTCTGTGATTTTTCCACATTCATAACGTACTTTCTAAACTTCTCCGTGAACAACTTTTTATTTTTATAAAATTTTACAGATAGAAATGGTTCCACTATATTCAGAAACATTTAAAATTAAAAAACTTAAAGAAAATTAAATTGCGTGTCTTAAATTCCTTCGTTCCAAGCTGAATTTCATTGTCGAATCTACGAGTTGTATCGATACTCTCAGAAAATTTACCAACAGAAAGGCCGAAACTTGGCGTTCAGTTAGAGAAAAATACAATTAAGTAGGTAAGGTGAGTAAAGTGAGTAAAGTGAGTAAAGCTGTCCCTGTAACAGGCCGTGGAGGCCCATAGTGTTGTGAGATATTGAGTTTCCCACATTTTCTAGACAATCGGCTCACGGATGAGAGTAAGGTTGTCAGCCTTACGCGCCGGCTGTCCTTTACCCCCAAGAATATTCCAAGTATATTCCTGGTACTTATTTCTGTTAGATGCTGTGTCAAATCCAGGGCTATAGTGCGGCTGGAAGGATTAGGTCAATTGAAAAATCCAATGACCTCATCAGGACTTGAACCCGCGACCTTCCGTCTTGTAGCATAGTGCCTCAACGAGCTACTTCTTCAAAAGCTTCAGCATAACAAATTATGGAGTTCTGTATTTATTTTACAATGCTAAAAGTATCTTGCATTTTACAATAGCCGCGCGGTCTACGGCATGAACTGTGGGATCGTGGGTTCGAATCCAACACAAGGCATGGATGTTTGGTGTGTGTGTGCGTTTATTCTATGTTTGTGTTGTCCTCTATTTGGTCAGCGGCCTTGCGACGAACTGATCACCCATCCAAGGAGTCCTACCGTCTGTGAAAGATTAATACGGAACTGAAAAAGAGGTCTAGGCCCTGTTTAATAATATGACGATTAATGTATAACGAATTGGAAATAATTTGGAAGAAAGCGGCTGTGTCCTAGTAATGATATGATCCTGGTATTTGCTTGGAGGGACTGAGATATACCACGAAAATCATCAGTCAAGATATCCTGTGTCTTTACCGGATTTCGAAGCGAGAACCTCCCGAACACATCGCTAGAACGTTACTGACACTCTGACCTTCTCAGTGGGATGATGAATGAGTTCTGTAATTTAGCTAACGTGAAATGATATCCATAGGTCTCCTCGATACAGACATGTGAATGCGTGTTTTGTGTGTCGTATTGAGCCCATGGTTTACTATTAAATCATCATGGATTCCTTAAGGGAGCGGTCTGGATTATTTATTTTGTCAGTGCCCTTGAAATTATTTATTTGTCGATAGTGATAATGTCTGTGCATACATTGTTAAAACTCGAAACTTTCTTTTACTTATTTTTGGCCCTGTAATCTCGCCAGGAACTCTTATTCTTCGGATAGGAAGTGTCGCGTTTGGTGTGTTTATAGTCTCGTGAGTACAAGCTAAGAATTTATACTGAGGTGCTCCCTGGCTGGAGGCAGACGGATGCAGGTAAGATCGTGTGTTTAATTCCCTTGTTCCTCCGTCTTGTTTTGTTTTATAAAGCTCTTGTGCAAGAACGACTTCTCAGTCTGAAAATCAGGACGAGAATTTGGATACATTTCGAGAATAAATTTGTGAAATAGAATTTTAAGTACTAAAGGGTAAGGTAAAGCTGTCCCTGTAACAGCCCGTGGAGGGTCATAGGGTTGTGAAAGGTCGAGGTTCCCACGTTTTCTAGACAATCGGCTCACAGATGGCAGTGAGGTTGTCAGCCTTACGCACCGGCCGCCCTTTACGTCCAAGAAGATTCCTGGTACTCATTTCTGTTAGAGGCTGAGTCGACCCCAGGGCACTAATCCTGTTGGAAGGATTAAGTAAATTGAAAAAAAAAATCCAGTGACTTCATTGGGAATCGATCCCGCGACATTCCGGCTTGTAGCATATTGCCCCAACCAACTAAGCTACCGCGTGCTCCTGAATTTTATGTACTAGACCATTTTTACCTTATTTTCCTTATTTTGAAAAAATAAAAGAAGGTTTATTGGATCACCATGCTCTCTGTGTCTGTGTACCCCTCCAATCAAACAATTTATATGAAACTTGGTATATAGATCATGGCACCTGAACCCATCTCAGCCTCACACTTCATAAATCCTTTCCACCAGTCTGGGTGTTTGCATGCATATCCCTTTATCGTTGCTAGGCAACGGATCGGTAAAAGTATTGCCGTGGTAACAAGCGCCGACAAGCGGCATTAGCTCGGTCGGTATAGTTCGCTTGCGGACTAACGGCCACGGAGTTTTTTGGTAACGAATAAACAGGCAGCAATAGAAGAATTTTGGTTTCGTCTTTTGCTATGCGGCCCGTGTGCTATTGAAGGAAAGTAGGCGGTTAGTTCTTCCCAGATCTTCTTGTTTTCATTAAAATAAGACCTCATAACTCTAGCAAGTTTTACAAAATGTACTGAAGTGAAATATTTATTCCTTTTGGTGTTACGTTTTTTTCAATAAAGTAAAGGTAAAGTTGTCCCTGTGCATTAAGCACTACGGTATTAAGACGTATGGGGGAGTGGATATATAGATCCATATATTCTTGACCTCGTCACTAATTTGAGGTGATTGGTCAGCTTCACGCCTCAACCGCTCTACCTCCGGGGAAATAGCCCCCGGTACCCTTTGGGCAGGAGGCTGGGTGGACCCTAGACCGGTCTGGACGTCATAGATAGACGAAAAATCCTGCCCCAAAGGGGACTTGAACCCTGACCCCTCGGCCGCTTAATCCGTAGCCAGTTGTACCGACCGCGCTCTCGGCTCTCCTTTTCCACTAAAATATTTTCATAAACCATTTTAATTAAAATCACTTCACCCGGGTTTGATCTCATCACGGCCAAGATCCTCCAAAACCTCCCCCCCAACTGTATCAAAAACCTAACCCAAATTATCAATGCATCCATCCGCCTTTGCTACTTCCCTAACCAATGGAAAGTAGCGCAAATCATTCTCATCCTCAAACCTGGGAAACCTACTGATCTACCATCATCCTATCGACCTATAAGTCTCCTCCCCACCTTATCCAAAGTCTTTGAGANGAGATCTTGTTGACAAGCTGAGTCGTACGTAGCATTGTCAGCAGTCACAATTCCGGAAAGAGAAAGCAATTTTCTGAAGTTGTCTGACCTCCTTCTGAGGCTGAAATAAATCGACTCTGGAATCAAGATCGAGATATTTCCTTCTTCGATTTATTCTCACCAATTTAAGGCATACTACAAGTCTATCGTGAGGTATTTTCAAGCGTTTATATAATCCTATGTGACTAGCACTTTCCCTTTGGATGTTCCTGTCCTGTTATTGCAATTAGAATTTTATGAATTCTGATGTTAGATCTGTTCATATTATTTATCGTTAATTTATTGTTTCGGACCATCTAAATTAGCTAGTAGATTTTTAGTAAAATGGTCCGTGCACTTCTCGTTTTTTAAGATATTTCCAGGTAAAATTAAATTCTAGAACTTAGTTTGTATGTTAATAATAATCAGTGCAACGTGCGTTCTTTGCATCCTAGCATTCTGAATACTCCTGTTATAAATATAACAAAAAATTCACATCCTAGCCATGTTCTCAATTATTATATTAAGGAGAGCAATTAATACATAATTTGTAGGCATTTATTTGCTCTATCCCATATCAAATTCCAAGGCCCTATTTCTAATTGTTTATTAATTATCGTTATAAAACCGGAAACTAAATACTTATTCGTACGAAATTTTATAGTCATCAATTTTACGAACAAGAAAAAAAAAGAGAACCTTAAAAAAGTAACATATTTTTCAAAGATTTGTGGTTGTACAAGTCAAGGAGGATGAGGTGGGCAGGTCATATAGCACTAAAGGGGGAGACGAGGAATGCGTATAGGATATTGGTGGGAAAGCCAGAAGGAAAGATACCACAGGGAAGACCAAGGCGTAGGTGGGTGGACAATATTAGAACGGAACTTAGAGAGATAGGATGGGTTGGTATGGATTGGATAGATCTGACTCAGGATAGGGACCAGTGGGGGACTCTTGTGAACACGGTAATGAGCCTTCGGGTTCCATAAAATCCTGGTAAATTTTTGAGTAGCTGCAGAATTGGCGACCCCTCCAGAAGGGCTCAGCTTCATGAGTAAGTAAGTAAGTAAGTGTGACTGTACAACGTTTCAGGAGTCTAACGTTATGTGGCTTCCACCACACAAGTTTGTAGGTCCGTCGCGTAGTTATTAATGTTTGTATGAAATTAAAACCTACGAGTTTGAGAGAGCATGAAATGACATATCAAATTCCATCAAAATTCATTCAGTTGTTGTCGAGGTGTAACGTGCTGACAGACGGGCAGATATGCAGACACATCCAGCCCTATATGAGTTCAGTTTGTGTATATCGCGCAAACAGCGCATAAAAAACATAATAATATTATTACCAACGACGTTGTTAAATTTTTGACATTAGATTCAGAGGCTTGTATTCTTAGGAAATTCATTTTCTAAGTCTTGCATCTGAAGAATAAACTGTAGTACATAAATCTTGGCGAATAAATTTAGTAGTAGTAGTAATAATATTTTTTCTTTAAGTGGCACTAACATTTTATAATACTCAAAAATCATAAAGAATTTTGTAAAATTAATTTCTTTAAGAAGATTTATAATCCGAATTGATGATGCTGATAATAACGATGATAATACTAATAAAATTTAATTCAATTCATGTTTTTACGTGCAAACTTAACAGCAAATACAGCCAAATACAAAGTTAGCACGAGTCCAAAAAAATACATAAAATAATTAAGAAAATAAAAATATGAAAATGAATAATAATTCCAAGAAAAATTAAAGTTAGCGTTAACAGGCCAGAAAAATAAAATAAGTACATTTCGAATGGTTATGCCATTTTGTGGTGAGAAAGGACAATACACGTACATACACACATAGAACTTAATAATAATAACAACTCAATTAATTTTACTTATTTATGTGTTAACACAACATCCAATATAATGATAAAAATAATAATGATAATTAAATTCGTGTTTACCTACAACAGCAACAGCAACAACAACAACAACAACAACAACAACAACAATAATAATAATAATAATAATAATAATCGTTGAAATCTTGATGTTAATGAAAAGGACATGTCCGATTCGAATTCTAGCTGGGACACCTACTATCCAGACTGACATTTTACGTGGTTTTCCTCAATACCTCAAATCATAAGTCGGTAGATAATCATTAATTGTTCCTGACCACTTAGTCCCATATTCTTTTCTATTCATGATTCATTTGTCGTCCTACAATTTGATGATGTGTATGAGTAGTCTGACATACTGACAGCGTCGTTAATTAAACCGTAAATAAATACAAGTTTAGTGAAATTTCATCAGTGGACAGTTTATATGCCGAAAGTACTGAGTGCCCCACTGCTATGAATGTTATTACTGGAAGGATATGATATTGGTCTACGACAGTTCTTCCGTCTCAGGAGCCTCAAATAGTTCAAGGTCTTCTGGAGCTCTAACATTCACTAAAGTGTTAAGTCACGGCTTGAAACCAGAAGCACATTTTTGTGTTATATTCAGCATGGCGCCCCGGAGTCAGGAAGATCATTTCCCGTTGTGGTGGACTGCTGCCCTCCGAGAAACACCGCCCAAGTCCGGAGAGCTCTTCCTCAAGGACAAACAGCGAGACGACGGCGCCGAGGGATTATGGCGCGTCCGTGACGGCCTCTATGACCTCTCCTCGTTCGTAGACGTCCATCCAGGTGGCTCAGACTGGCTACGTCTCACAAAGGTCAGCATCAATTCAATTTATTATAAGCAACCAAAACCAATCGCAGTTTCCACGCGGTCTAAGTTATGAAATGTCATTGGGGCCTTGGGTTCTAATCCAACTCGAGCGGTTCTTCGTGTTCTTCTTGTCCTGTGTAGGCAGCGGCTTTGTGACAGGGCTGAACGCCGATCCTTCGAGAACTACCGACTTCTTTAAGATCCAATACTTGCATACTAACTGTGGTGGGAAACAGGCCAGAGGGCCTAGTAGGAAAACAGAAGAAGGAGAGGAAAAACAAAAACATACATCTCTTCTACTTGAATGTATAATTTCTGAACTTTACTCATAATTATAAGATAATTAAGGCAGTTTTCCCTTGCTTGTATAAGTCAGATGCCATTAATATATCACTACCGGGACCTGAGAAGCGTCGTTGATTTTTGGTGTTTGGGGGTCATTTTCTTAGAAACAGCGAATAGTGCCAAGGATATACTCGTACCTATATCTCATAGATCTCTATACATATTAAATCTGTACTGAAGCGTCTTGTTGCATAGTAAAGGTAAAGGCAAATTTATTCATATGCTTATTTAACTAAGCACTATGCCATTAAGAAAGTGGGGGGTATAGCTCCATCATTCTTGACCTCAGCACTAGATGGAGGTGAGTGGTCAGTTTCACGCCCCGGCCGCTTTACAATCGGGGAAGTAGACCGTGGTACCATTTGGCTGGGAGGCTGGGTAGGCCACAGAGTCGGTATGGACTCTGTTGAGTAAAGAAAAATCTTTTGCCTCTACCAGGAATTGAACTCCAGTTGTCCAGGACGTAACTCGTCACTATACCGACTGAGCTATCCGGATTCCTGTTGCATAGTAATCAGTGTAATAAAAATAGAAATGTACCAGAAAAACACGAGTTCTGTTAATTATAGAGTAATACCGCATCTGTAAGTTTATATGTACCCTTTAACACGATGTTATCAAGAGTTTGGCGTGCCGGTAACGCTCATGGGTTCCAGCATCTCACGCTTCGAGGCCTCATATTTATGGTTTCATTTTGAGTTCGTTTCGCACGGAACACATATATATTACGAGATACTTTCATAACGGTCTGGAAAACCGAGATTAACGGCCGTGGGAATCGTTGCGCTGAACACGAGACCTCGCTATCAGCAATAGTTGGCACTAACTTTGCCGACAATGGGAGGTCGCTCGGTCGGTATAGTTCGCTTGTGAACTAAAGGCCACGGAGGAGGAGGATTTCTTTCATTTTGCTGTAAACCGCATCAATATAAGCCGATTTTATATTATTTTGACCATATAGAATAAATAATATCTAGTGATTCAAGTGGTGTTGGTTCTGTGTAGGTGAATGCAATAAATAGAACATCCGTTGGACAGAAAAATGAGGATTAATTGACATATTAAATAAGAACAGCACCCATGAAACAAAATTCTATTCCAGTTAAATTTCCAATTTATATTTATTAAATATTTTCGTAGATCTACATAAAACTCTATTTTCATTTAATGAACCAAAGCAAAGGGATTAAAAGTCGAATAGTTTAAACATTCAGTAAATCTATCCACTTTCGTGACGTATTACATATGAATGGATGGATGGATATCCATAATAATAAGTANCGTGAAACAAGCCTCTGCCCCACGCAACTCGCCTTACACATTCCATGAGGTAATTTATATTATTTCACTTTTATGAAGTGCTTACTATATAATACTGCTAGTAGTATTTATAATGTTCTACAGTCTTATGTGCAACAATTTATAAAAAAACTTAATAAAAGCTAGTCACTTTAAAAGTTTTCACAACATGTTTCGACTGAAGTTGCTATCATCAGATGTTAAAATTTGTGGTCGAAAAAATTTCTTTCTGTGTTGATGTTCAGTTGTTGGTATATGTTTGCCCCCTACTGCGCATGTGTGTATTCCTCCTTGTTATGTTATGTCCCCCGTCGCATTATGTTCCTTTTCTTGTTTTCAACATTTTAAACATTAAGAACCCTAAGTGAAAAGTACAACAGGATGCTACAGTCCAGTAAGTAAGATTAGATCTTTCTAAAAGTTCCAACTGAACAGGAAACTCCCCTCTCTTACACCTGTTGACAGAATCAGGAATGTGTATGTTAAATGTACTCAGACGATGGGAAATGTCCAACATAATATTCTTGCTGTGAAACCTGTACAGTCATAATATTGTATTGTAGCATCCTGTTGCACTTCATTCATTACTCAACAGATGTCACTGGTTCACAGTTTTATGTGCAACGCGTCCCTCTCAAGCTTCTGTACATGGCCCTACTGCATGTTTCGACGGACCTTGGTCATCATCAGGCGTTTAAAATTGTTCTTGTCCTTCCGCTTTGTGGTTCTGATATCTGGCATGTAGTCCTATCTACGCCCTCGTCTATTCTCTTCCTGTTGTGCTGTTTATCTAGACTCATAGATCAAATACTAGAGCCACGAAGAGGAAGTACAGCAGCTTTCACCACAAATTTTAAACACCCGATAATCATCAGTGTAGGTCGAAACATGTACGAGTAGTATAATGTACGGACACTTTTAAATAAGTTTGAGAGAGATGGGTTGCACATAAGACCGTGAATCAGTGACATCTCTTGGATAACTGAACAGTAACTTTCACAACAGCAGATGGGTAGAAGTCAGAATGATCAAGACCATAGACGCTGAACACTAAGTCACATCATGGCCGTGCGGAACTCAGAGACTATATGTGAATTACGGCGGGAAGTCCAGTGTTTGTACCTTACCTTGTTATTGGAACTCGGTTGATATGATTTGTGATTATCCGCAGTTACTCGAGAAGATTCCTAAGCAATACATCATAACTAAAGCAGTAGAACGCAGGAAACGTAAAAATCCCCTGCCACTCTTAAAGCACTACATCACAATGTATAAATGAAATCCAAACTAATCTTGTGTGTGAACAATCAACCTTAACTCGTAAGCTTCTCCAAGTATAATTAGGATGAGATGGAGAGGGCATGTAGCACGAATGGGGGAGAGAAGGAATATATATAGGATATTGGTGGGAAAGCCGAAAGGAAAGAGACCACTAGGATGACCAAGACGTAGTTGGGTGGACAATATTAAAATGGATCTTAGAGAGATAAGATGGGATGGTATGGATTAGATTGATCTGTCTGAGGATAGGAACCGGTGGAGGATTCTTGTGAACTCGTAAAAAACCTTCGGGTTCCGTTAAATGCTGGGAAGTTCTTGAGTAGATGCACAATTGACGGCTTCTCAGGAAGGGCGCAGCTCCATGAGTGATGATGATGAAAACAATATCCCTATTATTTACCTGATATCTGCTCCAACTCTTATATTGCCTATACATAGACAATAGATCCATCCTCAAAGAAGAATTTCCCTTCCTTCTCCTATTATTGCATATTTCACACGGAGTTGTGTAAGCTGTTGTTGATGTTCCTCAGGATGGGTTTTACCGGACCTTAAAACGACGAGCGCGTCTTGCTCTGGCTGGGGTTCCCCGTGGCCCCAACTTCTCCTCCGCTCTTATTGCAGATCTTCTGGCCCTCGGCACAGTATTCTTCTCCGTGATGGCCGCTGCTACTAGCAGCTACTTTGTGGGGGCATTTGCTGGATTGCTTATAGCACTGAACGTCATCACAGCGCACAACTTCCTGCACCAGAAGAATAACTTCCGCATGTATTACTTCAACCTGTCTTTCATGTCATTCAGGTACGTTGTCCGTTGAAGTGACTGAAATGTCTGTTGTCTATTATAGGAAATTCCCGAAGTTAAATTATTTCATGATGGTGCGAAGCAAAGGTAAAATTATACCATGAATACATATGAGGGACCGGTCTAGAAAACAGAGATTAATGGCCGTGGAGTTCCTTCCTAATGGCATATTCTAAAGCATAGTTGAAAAGCAGTGGCGATAAAGCATCTCCATAGTTTTTTGACCATTCTAGATAGGAAATTTATCAGACAAATATTCACCTATACGGACTTTACGTTTCGTTTAAACACATTTAAATCGTCCTAAATTGTTCCATGTGTACCGCAGACTCTATGAAAATATTGTACAATACTTCCCTCCTAACAAAATCATAGGATTTCTTGAAGTCTATGACAAGTACACTTAACTTAATTTTCTGTAGCTGTAGTAGATTGTAAAGACACATCGCCACAACACATTCTTCTTGGATTAGCTAACGGGATTTCTTCCACAACAGATTTAATTTTAATATATCCATAACCTATATTGTGAATATGATGTGATCTGTATAAAGGGAAGATTCTCTTTTACCTTAAAGCCTAGTTGTCGACAAGGTTGTAACAAAATTAAATAACACTATCATTTTAAACTAATAATAATACGTTTATAATAAATCTTGACACAAAAATTTACCAGCACGTCACAATCTTTAGGTTAAATTTTTAGCCAATATAGTGTCTCTTTTTGTTTTTGTACACTTTTAGGCTTTTAATAATATTTTATATTCATAATGTGAGAAAATGTTGTTTTATTAACGAATAAAATGCATTCCGATTTAAAATAATCTCATTGTTTCAAATCACATGATATATGGTGCAGACGTTCAAATGTCTTGCATACGAAATATAGGATAATAACATTGATAGCTAATTTTTAGAGTTCTGTGGCTATAATTCTTTGTGGTTAGCTTATTCTCTTTAGACAAGAACAGCTTATTTCTCAAAAGTTGTCTAAGAATGCCTGTGCTACGAATTGAACTTTACTTTCAGTGACTGGAGGGTTGTACACGCACTGAGTCACCACTTATACCCCAACTCTCTGCTCGATTTGGACATCTCCATGTTCGCGCCGCTCTTCCAGTTCCTGCCAGACCCTTCCAAGACATTCTGGGGTCGCTACGGGCCCTGGATCTACAGCCCTCTGGTCTACAGTGTTATGTTTCATGGTCACATGTTAATCAGGTGATGTAAACTTAATTCCTCAGATCTCGTGACCCTATCATCTAGGCTTACTTCCACGTGTATGTGTCTGCTCCTCCACGGATGAGATCACAGGTATTGATGTGATATTAAAGGTGATGGTTTCGTTACATATGGTCATCGGAGGCCAACATATCTTCTGATTTCTTTAGACCATGTCATAGTGCAGACTGTTAATCGTAGGCTTCTCAGCGCAGTTACGTGCTCTCATTTAAAAGAGTCCATGTGGGATTTGTGGTGAACGAAGTTGCACTCAGGCAGGTTTTCTCTACCTATTTAGGATTACCCTATCATTCATGGGAGCCGGGACAGCGCAGTCGGTATAGCGACGGGCTACGAGCCGGACGACAGAGGGGTCGGAGTTCGAGTCACTGTAGGGGCAACAATTTTCTCTTCTCCACATCGTTCAGACCGCTCTGGGGTTTACCCAACCTCCTACCCAATGGGCACAGGGGGATTTTCCCCGGGGGTAAAGCGGCCGGTGCGTGAAGCTGACCACTCACCTCCAGCTAGTGCCGAGGCCAAGAAAACGTGGATCTATATATCCACTTCCTCATACGCCTTCATGGTATACTGCTTAATTAATTAAGTACAAGGACAATTTTACCTTTTTGTCTTCTCCTTACTTAGGATTATCGTATCAGTAATGTTTCTGGTAATACTCGGTCCTCATCTATCATCATCATCATCATTATCATCTTTATCCATCTATTGAAACCCAATGTAGATATACATGGCCTAAAATATTAAAGTTGCAGTTTGAAATGTTTGTATAAAAATGTAGATCTGTCCTTGTGCTTAATTAATCAAGCACCAGGCCATGAAGGCATATTGGGAAGCGGAGGTATGGCTCCACCATTACTGACCTCTCAGTAGGTTGAAATTAGTCGTCAGCTTCACGCCCCGGCCACTTAAACCCCTTAGGAAAGCCCTGGTGTATAGAAAATCTTGTCTCTTCCGAGAATCGATCTTCTACCGTCTTCCTTGTAGCCCGTCACTGTACCTACTGAGCTATCCCGGCGCTAATACTTCTATAATAGGCAGATATAATCAGTATTCTCTTCCAGACAATCTTATAACTTAATATATCTAGTAGGTTTTTCTGAAATTGTTGCGAAGTTCAGATATTTAGGGATGACACCAACAAATCAAATTCCATTTATGAAAAACGAAGTACAAATTAAATTTGAGAAATGCTTACTTTATTTCAGAGGTCTCGGGTTCGATTCCCAGCGCTACCAGATTTTCTGAGAATTAGTGAGTCTGGAACGGGGTCCACTCAGTCTCGTGAGGATAATTGAGGAGCTATTTCAAGGATATTGCGGCTCCGGTCTAGAAAACTGAAATTAAAGACCGTGGGGTATCGTTGCGTCGACCACGTGACACCTTCTATCCGCTAAAGTTGGAACTAATTTCTCCGACAGGTGGCGGTCGCTCGGTCAACATAGTTCGTTTGAGGAATACAGGCCACGGAGTTTACTTTGTTTCACTTCAAAACATTGTATCTTCTTTTATGTTACCTAAAGATGTACATATTGAAATATACAGAACTATAACTTGATCTGATGTATAGTATGTGTCGTAGTTAGTTAGTTATTAGAGAAGGTGGGTTTCCCCATGCACTTAGACCTGTAGTGGTCCATTGTGCTTCCCTCTATGATTTCTACCAGCCTCTATATCCTACCGGTACTGGTGCTTACCATCAGTCCCGCCCAGCCAGCGAGACCGGCTCTCTACTGGCTGAGAAGTATCTATAATGCTTCCCCCATCTACCGGAGGTATTAGTGACTGCTGTTGGGCGGCAAACGTCCGCAATTTTGCTCAGTGACCTCCTTTGGAGGTATGAGGTTCTTTTACGTACCGTAAAGCTACGACACGGGACCCACGGCTTAAAGTCCCTCCCGGAGGACTTGTTCCCTGAATTTTTCCGCCCTTAAAAATTCGACGACCTCCGCTGGGTATTTGAACCCGCGTACTACGAGTCTAGACTACGGGGGCGCTTATGTGTCGTAAAACTTGGTCTGCCAAGTCATGGGAAGAATGTAGACCGAGGGCGCTGCGAAGAGTATTTGTGCCTAAGGGACATCAAGTAACAGGAGGCTTGATAAAATTACATAATGAAGAGCTTAATAATTTCTAAATTTACTCCGCCAAACAGTATTAGGATTATCACCTCAAGAAGGGTGAGATGGTCGAGATATGTAGCACGCATAAGAGAGGAGAGAACTGTATGCAGAATTCCTGTATTTTTAATAGTACTAATCCTTATTTATTTCTCTATTTACACTGTAACTAACCTATTCAATTTATCTGTTGTTATTATCATCACAGTAACAAGATTGTGTTCTTATGATCCATGACCTTGTAGTATGATACAGACAAGCAATGATGTGGAAACCACCCGCAATGAATCGAGAGTTAGCCAATCACAGGCTTGGAACCAACCAATGCTAAACAACGGCTGGGTAAACAGCCACTGATAGGTAAAACCACGGGGTGGGGGTGATGTGGGTGATTCCCAAAATCCTTTGTGTATTCTTAATAGTAACTCTAAATTATTCCCTTCTAACTTTGTCATTGCCGGTCACAGTAGCCACGCGATCTAAGGCATGAAATGTTCTCGTTTGCTTGAACGCTGAGATCGTGGGTTCGAATCCTACTCAAGGTATGTATGTCTGTGTGTGCATTTATTCTGTTCTTGTGTTGTCCTTTAGCGGCCTTGCGACTGACTGTTCACTCGTCCAAGGGATCCTACCGACTGTGTAAAAAAAGATTATGAAACTGAAGAAGAGGCAAGGGCCCAACAAAGGGCTGTAGAGACATTGATGATGAATTAAGTTTTGTGTATAGTGCCGCTATTTTAGTATAACTAATTCTCCAGATTCATGTGGAGAACTGAAAGCAGTCGTCGGAGTTGAAGTACTCGTCTTCCACCTACAGACACACTCAACATGCACTGTCAATATGTTGGCGCAGGTTGTGGAACATGGCTAAGGGCAGGGGCGATTATGTACGCATGGAATATGCGATTCCTCTGGTGATCCCTACGTCAATGATGGTGTTTGCTGGAGTGAGCGCTGGAAATGCATTTTGGATGTGGATGTGGGTGACCACAGCCTCAAGCCTCTTCTTCCACATCATTGCCTTCAACGGAGCCCACCACCATCCTGAGATATTTCATGAAGGGGACGCTATAAGGTACTCAAGTCTGAGGACATGTCTCACATTCCTTTGCATTCATCCATTGTACACTTGGCCTTAACTTCAGACTGCTTCAACTACAATGTGAACCAGGGTGTGTCATCACCAGTTTGTGACAGAACCTTGTGTCGTCGTTAGAAATTTACTAGGTTATATTTACAACGTATTTCAGCTGTTCGTATTCTGGTAAGAAATTTAATCACATTAACACAGGTTTTTTTTTCTGCAAGGTTGGCTATACGAGGTACGACGTTCCGTTGTTCGTAGAATAAATAGGTGGACTATAATAACGATTTATCTCTAATTTATGTTGATCTATCTAGTGATTAGAAAATTTATTCAGTAATGTTCTATATGTGCCGGTCACGGTAGCCGAGCGGTCTAAGGCATGCACTCTTTTCGCTCTCTCGGAAGCCGGGATCGTGGGTTCGAATCCCACTTAGGGCATGGATGTTTGTGTGCGTTTTTCTGTGTTTGTCTACAGGTAGAGGCCTTGCGACTAGCTGACCACT